AGAGCATGTGAGGCTGAGTGTGAGGGGAAGGGTGGATGCAGTGCTTGCAGCTTGTTTGTGCTCATATTGCACAGACAACCCTGGCTTAAACTTCTCTTTAACATTTTTCTCCAGAGGTCTGAAGGACCTGGAAAGTCACTGGAGACATTACTGTGGAATTCTGCTGCCTAGGAATGTGACTTTTTTTTTTTTTTTCCTTGTGAAACAAGATTTTTCAGGAATTAAAAATACAAGCATGAATTTTTCTAAACTGGAGCATGCCAGGATTTTTTCCAGTGGAAATTCTTTTCCTCCTCCCTCCCCAACTGGTTTACTTTTTTCTTTTTAAAACCTCGTAGAGTGTTTCTAATGAGACATTTTGGAGGTATTTTTTGCTTTGGCAATCTCTATTTTGTGAGCTTCTTCTGGACTGTTTGTTTTCTAAGCAGCAATGAGCCTAATTGTCTCATACTAAGACATCTGTGATTAACATGCATAAATTGCTTTTGCCTTTTCCTAATCGGAGTTTGTCAAAGCTGTAACCAAGAGTTGCAATATTCTCTCAGGAGGGAATAAATCCAGCCAGCTCTCCCAACAGCCAGAGCTGTGGATGGTGGAGGTTTCTGCACAGGAAAGCGCCCTCACTGCTGGAGGGCTGCTGCCTCCTCTGCCTGCCAGCTCCGCTTGCCGGGCTCAGGGATGAAGGATGTGCTCATATTCCTGCTCTGAACCACTGTTTCCTTTGCTGGGCATGTCAGCACGGCCCTTCCAGTTAGGGGAGGAAAAAAGGTGACTGTTTCAACCATCTCATTCACTGTCGGGCTGTGGTAGGGCTGGGAACTGTAGCTGCACCAGGGAGTCGGCAGCAGTGGAATTACAGCCCCCAGAGAGGAAACATCTGCCACCAGTGGCTGCTGGAGCGGAGAGGGAAACAATTACCTACCCAACCAGCTCTTGAATAAGTGATAGACACAGGCTGGGAACCCCAAGTTCCATAAGTACCACATTGTGCACCTGAACTAGACAGAGGCTGCATATTTTTCCTGACCGCTCCTCAGTTTCAGCCTGGGGAGCATCACCTTGCCTTGCACAGGGCATAACCTAAGCAATGGGACGCAGAAGTGCTGTTCTGTGCGACCTCTTGAGCTGACCTCTGGCGGCCTGATGTTTTCACTTCAGTGCTCGGGGACCTGCAGCAAACCGAAAATACCTCCCAGGTGCTAAAACTCCTGCAGAACCGAAAGCCACGCTGTTTTCACACTTGCAGACACATTAGAGAGTATAAAAACTTTGCAACTACTGTGGACTGCCTGGTGTTTCTCACTGGATTTCGATGACCCAGCTCAAGTGCCAATGGTTGCAAGAAGTAGCACTTCTAATTACAGTTTAATCACACCTTGCACTTTTTTTTTTTTTTTTTTTTGAAAAAAGTGTTTCTTAATCATACCTTGCACTTTCTTTTTTTTTTTTTTTTTTTTTTTTTGAAAAAAGTGTTTCTTGGCCCTGCTTTGCTAGGGCATTCCCTCATGCCAGAACACACAACATCCTGCCTGCTGGCTGCAAGCAAACTGCTGAGATCTCCTCCAGCAAGGATTCATGCTGTTAATGCAAGGCTCAGTGTTGGTTGATGGTGCTCCCACAGGTCTTGCTGGAACAAGAGATCTGGGAAGTTTTAGGGTTCTGTGTTTGTTTTTTTTTTTTTAATGTTAACTTCAAGGCCACTCAGCTGGTTCCAGTGACCTTTTTCAGCCTTTCATTATGCATTTTTTTTAGTATCAGGCACTTTGGGTCAGAGATAGGAAAAAGGAAAAAGCAGCAAGACTGGGAGAAGGGTTTTCTTGGTGCAAATATTCTGTAGTTAAATCAAAATGAACAGACGCCCCCAACTGTTTTTGTTTCTTTTAAGCAACTGGAGTAATTGCAGAGAGTGTTAATTTTGCTCATAAAGGACTTCCCTCCCACACATGCAATGTCTCTAACAAAAAAAAGGGGTTGTGGTGTCTCTCTGCGGGTCCTCTATAGGCTGGCAGTAACATTGTTATTGTGAAGAATAGAATTGATAAAGACCTTCACAGCCTGCCTGCATTAAAACTCACTCCACAGGAACTAATTTCATGTAGTTACCTTAGGGGAAAATAGCACCAACATGGGTAAACAGCACTGGAATAAATCTAATCTGCTTGCAGGACCAAATGAAAGTACAAAGTAAAACAGGTAAGCAAAGCTCAATGTAGAAGAGAGGTGGTACCAAGCACTGAATTCTGAAAACCCACCCCACAAGGGATTTCAAGGCCATTTGTAGGATTTCATTCTGGCAAATGGGAGAGGACAACTCATTTATTTCCTTCAGACTGTACCAGTCTGGCTTGGTGTGACTGTGTTCTCCCAGCAGAGAAGGCTGTGGTGGTCATGACTCCACTTTTCCTTTTTGCCTGCCGTGCTTTCTGCATGATTCTTTTCCCATCCCACCTCCCCTCAAGAGCTGCATGTGGCCACATCTGAGTAACCTCCGCATCCCTTCCAGATGCAGGAGATGTTGAAAAATGCATCTTATTGCTCTATCTGGCTTTCAGGATCTGGGTGCCTGCTGGAGAATGGCCTGCCACTTTCCTATAGCCATGAGAAGGAGGACCAGTGGTTCCCGCCTCAGGCACCTACCCCAGGCTCCGAGGGCTGGAGCAGCAGCAGGAGCCTGTCAGGGAGCAGTGGAAACAGCTACTGGATGGGGCCAAAAGACAGATTTATTTGCAGGAAAGGAGCAGGAGGCGCCAGTGATGGGGCTGAGGCTGCTGTGCATTTTCACATGCCACCCCCACACACAGGGACGTGCTGGCTTCCTGCAGACACATGGAGCCATCCCTGTAAATGAGCGGCCCCTCGGAGCCTGCATGCTGGATACAGTCCTCTCATTTGGATGATGGCCTGTCCTGCAGCCCCTCTTCAAGCCACTCAGCTCAGGCCAGCAAGGGGAAAACACTTTCCCATCTGTTGGTCTTCAGACTCTGACTCATTATTTTTATTTCAGCTGTCGCCAAGCAATAGCGAAAGTCCCAACACACCAGCATTTCCACTGCTGCAAGCTGCCTTGTCCTCAGCCACCAGAGAATGAGCAGCTCAGCCTCAGTTCTCCGCTGCATGTGATACTAAATATCACAGATTCTGTCACAGAATAGGCTGAGCTGGAAGGGATCCACCAGGATCATCAAGTCCAACTCTTAAGTAAATGGCCTGTAAGGTGATCAATCACACAGCCTTGGGTTTTATTAGCGCCATGCTCTAACCAGCTGAGCTAATTTCATTAATAAAAAAACAGGAAAGAGGAAAAGGGTACATTCAGGTCCCTTAGTCATCAATACACCAGGGTATCCAGGCAAAAAGTGAGAACTTGTAGCCTCTGGAAAGGGAGACATGGGGCTTGTCCCTGAAGGCCCCCACATCCACGGGTGACAGAGACACTGGAGGTGGTGTTGCCCTCTCCTGCCCCTTTAAGCCCCTCATCTAACAAGGAACCAAGGCTCAAAACAAAAGTGTCTGCACCAGTCTGTTGTACCTTGTTTGTCTCCACTCTTACAGAAATGGGACATGCCACTGCTAATTGCACATCCTATTTTCTGCCTGCTCCTTATTAAGCTCAGAGACTCTCCTGCTGTCTCCCCAACACCCCAGACCGTGTTACACAGCACTGGCAGCCTTTACCCAGGTTTACTCTTCCTTTTGTTTGTCCCTTTACTGCTCTCCTCCTTACCATTCCTGCTCACCTACTTCAAGATTCATGTTTTCCTTTCCTCCCTCCATCTGGACACCCATCTGAATGCCTGTGACCGTACTACCATATGTGTATACATTAAAAAAAAAACAAAACAGGATCACCAAATGGGGAAACACCTCTAGAGCTGTTCTAAAACTACAGCGTGACTCCAGCTAGACAGAAGACATTTTGCAATAACCTCATCGCTGCTGCCAAGTGTGTTCCAAACACAGACCTCGTGTCATAAATTACTGTAATTAGCAACACTCCAGCAGGCAATAGTATGTATTTAAAAACTGAGGATGCACATGAAGTGGCTGCAGTTTATATTACGGGTGAGTCACGGTGAGGCCCAGCTCGAAGGGAGCCAGTGAAGCCTCTGCAGCCACAGCATTGTCTGGCACAACCCACCCAGGACAGCAAACCTTTTCCTAAATACAGGGAAAACAAGCTGAATATTGAAGCCTCTTGGGAAATGTATTTGCACTGAAAATTTGAACTTTTTGCTGAAATAAGGGGAAAACCAAAAATCGAGCCTCTTTGGCCAGCGCCAATAAAACATTTTCAGACAGAGCTCCACTTCTTGACACACGCGTAAAAAATGTTCTTCTGGGATGGAAAATGGAAACTTTTTTATTTGGATGGATAGTGGTTTTATGCCTCAAGAGACTTGGGGCTTTCTGGTTTGAGAATAAACACGTGAGAGGGGGTAAAAAAAACCAACACCAAAAAACCACGGAAAAAAAAAAAAAAAAAGCAGAAAACTTCGGATGTGTTCGCGGTGGCCAAGCCCTGCTTTTCCGATGAGAACAAAAGCTGTGACATGGAGGTTCTTTCCAGACTGCGACTGCGGAAGGCGGCGGCGGTGCCGTGCCTGCCCCTCACGGCGCCGGGCAGTGCCGGGGCGGCACCGCGGCTCCCGGGTTGCACGGGCGAGCCCCGCACCGAGCCCCGCACCCGGCCGGGCACCGAGCCCCGAGCCCGGCCCCGCACAGGCTGCGAAATGTCGGCGCTGCGGTGCGCCCTGGGAGCTGTAGTCCCGCCGCTCAGCACCGCTTCGCCCCGCTCCCCGGCTCGTAAAATGTCCTCCGCCGAGGAGAGGCGGCCGCCTACAACTCCCAGGAGCCCCGAGAGAGGTGAAGCGGAGAGGCGTAGGCCCTTTCCGCGCCGCTCTCCCCGCCGGGAGTTGTGGTCCTGCTGCCCGTGTGGCCGCTCCGTGGAGCCTGGCAGGGACTCGGTGTCCCGGCGCGCCGCGGGCTGTGGGTGGAGGGGCAGAGGTGGGAAAGGCGGGCAAGGCAAGCAAGGCGGGCGGCTGCTGTGGAAGGTGTTGGGGCTGTGCGGTGTCGGGGTACAGGGTCTCCCCCTTCCATTCCCCCCCCTCCCCTCCCTTCCCCGGCGGTTCGCGCTGTGTGCCCGGGCGGGTGGCGGTGCCCGGGGTGCAGGGCCAGCGAGGGCTGCGGGTGGTGCGGGCGGTTCGCATCCAGCAGCATCCCGGGCCGGAAAGGGCGCTGGGGCCGGCGCCGACGGGCAGCACGGCTAGGGCTGCACCGTGACCTTGCCCTGCGCAGGGCGAGTGATAGAGCTTAGCATAGAGAGCTTGTTGCCCTTAGGCCTTCAAGAGATTAGGATTTTCTACAGTTCTTTCCCTGATCCTCTTCCCTGTTCCTTGGCGAGGGGGCCCGTGGATCCCTGTCCCGAGTGACGGTGTGGGCTTTGGTGCGGTGCTCTCTGCACCCCGAGAGCAGGCCGTGGTTTGCGGTGCCTGAGGTCTCCGTTCTCCTCACAGGAGGCAGCAGGAAGGCGCACAGTCTGCTTGAGCGACACCAGGATGGAGGAGCCCACTGGGAACCTTTCCATCCGCAGAGACGTCATCCTTCCCGAGTCGTGCTGGGATCACGTCACCATAACAAACCTGTGAGTGAGTCTGGTCTGCTGACAGGGCCGGCATGTTTGGCCACTAACTTTGCTAAGGCTAAAACATCTCCTTAGGAGCAGAATTTCTCCTTTCTGTGCAAGTGCCCTCAGACGAGAGATGGCCCTGATGAACACTTCTATTACCATCTGAAAACAGCTGTTTTACTTAATTATGCACTTCAAGGCCTTTTCTGAGTTGTAGTCGTTACTTTTCATGTGTTGCAAAACTAAGCAGAAGGCTGTATCTTTTTAAGAAGATTATTTCCTGGTAGGGGTTACATGGAGGGCAGTATTTTCAAAAGTAGGCATCAGATGCTTTCTGTCAAAGACAGCCAGACTTGATTTGGAACTTAGCACTCCTCTGAAAATTCTGTGTGTTTTGTGCTTCATAACAATCTGGCACTAACTTTGAACATGACCTTTCTTTGAAAACACAAGTCTGTGTTACCCATGGTCTTAATACTTAGCAGCACTTAATGTTTACAATGCATAACTATTATTTTTGTATCTTCTTAGCTGCATTTAATACTGGTTATTTAGTCTTTTGCACATGCAAATTACAGCTTGAATTTCTTTGAAACCTCCCTTCTGTTCTACAGGATAATGCTGGCAGTGTGAATGTGGAGGCTGGGTAAATATAGTGGTGCCTGCATTATTAGGCTGTGTGCTGTTCCTCTGCCAAAAATTCAATAATATCTACAGACTTTTATACCACCAGGAGTTTGTGTCAGATTTAGAACACAGTTCTGCAGCTTTGGATGATTCAGGGAGACAGAATTATTTTTAAAACTACATTTCCAGTATCGTGATGGAAATGTTTGTTTTCTAGGGTGGAAGTGCTGAGATCTTTGGTGGCTTTAACTGACCCTCAGGAGGGGAAGCTGACTCAGTCTCAAGAGAAAGTGAGTGAGAAAGTTTCCATGTCTGTTTACTGCATCGTTTCAGAAGACCCTATAATTAGGTAGTCAAACTTATTCTAATAATATGTTAGAACTGTTTCCATAAGTCAGGTGAGCTGAACCAAAATGTGTGTGACCACCAGCTCTGTTTCCAGTTGCCCAGCAAGTGGCAGCTTGATCATCAACCACCTGAATTCAGTGAGGTTCCCTTCAAGCAGGTGGCACTCAGGTATTCCAGTCAGCTCCTGCAAGTCAGGCTTCAAATCACACTCATTTACTGACTGAAGGGCCAGCTCTTGCAGGCTTGTGGTTGCAACCTCTCCTCATTTCCATGTGTGAGCATGGCATGTGTGATTAGTTTTCTTAATCCAATGGGATCAATTTCTTGAGCTGGCTGGTTTTCCAATTCCTGGAATCTAGTAATGACTTGAGAGCATAAAGCCAAAGGAAGGAGTGGAGCTTGTACTTTATGCCACATTAAGGCAGACTTGAAACAGTGGCCCTGATATTTTTGTGGGTTTTCTGTCACTGTAGGATCAGTGATAGTGTCCTTTGTAATAGGCAGAACATGATGGCTATTGGGACAGCAGGTACAGTGCTAGTGCAATAAGGGTTGTACTGGCCAAATAAAAGTGTGAGAAATTGGATGTGTTTTTGTGGATTTTTACAGTGAGAATAAGTACAGGGTGTAATATGCAGAGGCATATTAATTGGTGTCTCCTGGAAGATGTATGAGACAGCTTTGGGGCATTCAGATTAACTCAAGAGCTTTATGTTCATCTTTTAGTAATTGGACCTGATGTAACCTGGGATTAAATTTGGTAGCATTGCTTTCAATTACTTCATATTCTTGTATTTCAGTCTTGTGTAAATCTTTAATTTTAACGTGCATTCATTCCTTAAATAATGTTTTCATTTGAAGCAAAATTGCTTGGGAATCCCAAAAGCACAGCTAACTGTTATATTGCAGTTATAATTACTTTGCATGACACAGAGTGATGGTCTCATTCTTGGTTCTCATTTCACAGTTAAGTCTTTATGCTCCTTTGTATTCTAGGCACTAAACTCGCTGGGCATTTGGAAAAGTGTACTTAGAGTTGTTCCTGGGCCTACATCAAAGACCTCAGTGGAGTGACAGCTCAAAGATGGGAGACCAGGAGGCAGGTGAACCTTTTCTGGGAATAGTGGCTGATGGTGGCAGAGACTTTGAAGGAGCTCTGCCCTCAGACACGGTGTCACTCAGCGATTCTGACTCTGATGACTTGGGGCTGGTGGGTGAAGCAGAAGTTGATACAATATCTCCCGAGGAGCCATCTCTAGATGAAGGGGATTTCAGATCAGGAGAGACACCCGACTCTTCAAACAGCGGTCACAGATCTCCTGTCCAGCCATTCCATCTGAAGGGCATGAGTTCTACGTTCTCTCTGCGTAGCCAGAGCATTTTTGATTGCCTGGAAGAGGCAGCCAAGCTGTCTGTGCCCTCCATGCCTGAAGATAATGTTGTTGATGGGAGGTTTAAGCGTCCATTGCCTCCGACCACAGTTTCAGGTAACATAGTCCCAGAACACATGGGAAGGCAAGCCAGAGCAGTGCAGGCTCCCAAAACCTCTCCTGCGGTGCCTGACTACGTGGCACACCCAGAGCGCTGGACCAAGTACAGCCTAGAGGGAGTTTCAGAGTCCAGTGACAAGACTAACAGGGCAGTGGCCATGGAATTTCTCGGTGGTTTGAAGAAAAGAGGGGAGCAACAGAGCTCGGCTACCCAAGATAGCTACACCCCGTCCTTCAACCAGGACCCTTCCAGCTGTGGAGCTGGGAGGATTGTCTTCACCAAACCAACTAAAAGAGGTGTTGATGGACTGGAAAAGAAAACATCAACAGGGGAGGATGACAAGAAACAGATAAAGACAGATCTGAAAGGAAAATCTCTTAAGAAGCCGGATGACTTGAGGGAAGAAGATAAGGTTGAGCTGGGGCACTTAGAGAGTGGCAGTGGAAAGGCAGCAGAGGAGGAGGAGTGCATGATGGAGGGGGACCAGAACACAGAGCATAAACCTGATGCAAGGCTTAGTGGTGCAGGTGAAGAGCCATCGCTGGGAACAGTTGGATTCCACTGCAGTAAGAAGAAGAGCAGGAAAAATTTTCGACCTAAAGTAGATGATGAAGGGGAGGAGGATGAGTCCTGAAGGATGAAGTACATTGGTACATTGGAGACATCCCAGGACTTTCTTGTTCATTTTATTTTTTTACTCTCTTCATTTTTTATTTTTTTTTTCCCTTTCTGGTCTGAAAACCACGTGATAGCTTTTTGTTCAGCAGTTTGCATCATAGCCACCAAGAATGTTTTATGTTGTTAGAAATTAAGCTACCTAAAATAAACTCCAGACTTTTTGTTTATGAGAATTCTGTGGGCACAGGATAGTTGCATCCTGACAGGGTAGAATAAAGTGTGATACTCCAGAGCTGAAGTACCCAAAGACACAGAAGTGTTAGCTAAACGGTTGCAGGGCTTCCTAGTAACTCCCAGTTTTGGAATTGTTCCCAAATCCTGTGGAATCCTGGAGAAAAGGTGATGAGCTCATTATGTAGAGATTTTTAAACAATGGAAATAAAACCTAGTCTTCCACTGGATGTGATTCTCCTGGCCCTGTCCCAGGAAGGAAAACCTTTTAACTCTTTTGTTTAAAAACATCTTTCTGTCATTGCCATTGAGGGTGAAAGCACAACAGTGCCCAGTTATATGATGTGAGGATCTGCACCTTTGTATGTCCTTTCCAGCAGGTGCTGCTTCCATACTGATTCTGTATGTGGATTGGGGTATTTGTGGGAATCAGGTATTTATACCAGAATTGGAGACTATTTTGTTCTGTGTGATACAATAAACTTTCGGTTGGAACTTGATTTCTTGTCTGAACCACACTGAGTAATGCAGCTGTAGCAGTTTTACCAAACATTTTATTTATAGATTTCTAAACTCTCTTGGAAACCTTTTAAAGTGTTACTCTAACTTTGCCATCTTGTTAACTTCTCCCTCAAGTCTTCTAGATTCTAAACCTCACACTTCTAACATTTTCAATCATTTTGCAATGTATAATCCCCTCACAGGATGAATCATCTCATACAATGAATCACATTGCAAGGAATGTCAGATATAATGGGCTTTTTCCACAGTGCTAGTAAATTTAATAAATAAGGTTGAAAGATTAAATTCTTTGAAAGGTTACATTATTTGAAACTCAAATTAGTTCAGGTCACTTTGAACTGACTTTTTTTTTTTTGTCAGTATTCTAAATTAACCAATCCCAAGAGTGGTATTTACAACTGTGTAGTGAAAGGTTAATTTTGAAGAGTTTGTGATATTTCTTGGTAGATTGTGCTTGCTCAAACTCTGAAGGGTGTTTGAGGGGGTGACTTCCTCAGGGGGGGAGTTCATCTTAACAGTAATTAACTGAGAGGCCCAAATCTCTTGGGCTTTGTGTTTGAACTGATGCATGTTTGGCAGAAGCAGAAAACAGTGTAAAAGGAGCAGTTGTGCTCCATTTTTCTAAACTTACCCTTCAGTTTTCAGAGCAGAATGTATTTTCTCATGAGTATGCAGTTGGATGCACATTGCTTAGTGGGTCGTTGGTAAATGCATTGGTTGTTCCGTTGCATCTGAGTGGACACACGCAGCAGATCCCAATGGATAGATTTTGGGATCCAGTGGATAACTAGTGTGCTGATCACACTATTAAAATAGTAGCCATTTCAAAGTGTAAGCTGCTGCCAGAGCAGGGAATGCTTGTTGTGAGGTATCTGTTATTTCTTAACAAAAAAGTGCAGCTCAGTTGTACAAACTTACTGGGTTTATGAGTTCTGCTTGCCCAGGCTGAGGAACAGGTAGGACTACCAAAATTCCATTGCTGCTAATGGAGTCACAGGCCTGGGGCACAGCTGAATAAACTGGACAAATGCCTGTTTCATTAAGCCATCATAACAAGATTAATATCTGTTAATAAAAGGCTCATTTTTGTCAGAGCTGAGATTTATTTTTTTTCCACCTCTCGTAACAGAAAGCTTTTGTGCAATCTACAGTTACATTGCATAGAGACAATATTATACGTGTGAGTAAATGCAATTGAAGTTTGTATCAGTCAGACACAGCCCAATACTTCCCCCTTCTGATGCTGTTTATGTTATTCCAAAGAAATTTACCCTTAGAGAATGGTATTGATGTTTTAGTGGTATGTCTTGCAAGATTCTAATAAAGCCAGCGAGTTTTTATATGCTAAAAATGCACAAGCCAGTTTAAGTAATGGAAAAAGCCACAAACAGCCCAAATTCTTAGACTGCAGGATAATTCTTGGTACACATTCTTGCTTTAAAGTCTCTTAGGTGATTTCTTTTTTTCCCTCTGACCCTTGAGAAAGAAAAGTAAAATGAAATCAGATGCTTAGATGTAGAGGAGGTATTCCACGTGGTGTGATGCAGGGAGGCAAAGGCTCCTTGCCAGCAGGGAACTGGCAGCAGCTGTGGTGGGGTATGGGACCAACAAAAACCAGGTGATTCCACTTTCTGAGGCTGAGTGAGGAGTCCTTAAGAGGGAATACCAGCAAAGGAATACCTCGTAGGAGCCAGCGTGGAAAGAGAGGCTGGTGAGTGCAATTGTATAGGAACTCCAGGAACTGTATGTTTTGTAATGTTTCAGTGTTCAGGCCCTTTCCTTGGAAACTGTTTCTTGATTTCCTTTTCTAAGCAGCTCACGAGTACAAGCTTGATGTCTCGGCCAAGGAAGGATCTTGTTTTTGAGCGTGTAAGTGATTGTCCTTCCAAAGGGAGACTCCCTTGAGCAGAGAAGTGTGGAATTTGGCAGCGATGATGGTGAATTGAGGGTGTGGTGTCTGGAGAACAAATGGTATTTAGAAAATAAGGTAGTAGAGTGACCCTGCAGGAGAAAGCTTTAATGCTGATTGTGGAATGGTTTTGGAGAAAGGGCCGAGTGCTATGGGAGCAGCAGGAAAGAAAGCCCAGGAAACTGAAGGAGGAAGACCAAGAAATCCGTAGGAATGTCGAGCACTGATAGAGTTTAGCATAGAGAGCTTGTTGCCCGTAGGCCTTCAAGAGATTAGGATTTTCTACAGTAGTTCAGTAGGACAAAAGGTTTAATGTGAAGAAGTAGAATAAAATTTAATTATCAATGTATTCAATGTCAGTCTCAAACTGATCTGCATGCTCTTCTCTTTCACTTCTTTGTGGCAAAGGTGCTTCCGTGTTGGCAGTCTTCACACCTAATAGGATTGGAAAAGTCATGTTTAAAAGCCTTAGGACAAGGGGCACATAGTAGTAATTGCTTAAAAAACTTTAAAAAGTTGAAAAAAGACACTGTAGATTGTGTTACTTTGCATTTGCTCAATAAATGATAAACACAGGCTTATTTTTCAGCTATTTAAATTTCTGATTTTTATCTGGTTACGGTGTTAAAATGTCTGGGAAGCCTGCTGTGGGATGGAGTTTTTTTATTGGAATACTGATAATGAAGCAACTCACATAAGTGTTATATAAACTTCTGACAGAATTAAGTAAATCTTGAGGTTAGCTCAAATCTGAGTGACTTGAGCAAATCTGTTGTGATCCTGTTGTGACCTTGATTTTTCCAGCTACTTTTTCCATGTAGTATATATATGCTCAGTTTATGGGTTTTGGAGGCTATTTTGTGTGGCAGCAATAGGCTGATATTGAAATAGGTAATTAAGAAGGATATCCAAAATCTTATTGTGTTGGATATCCTGCAGTGGCTGAGAAATAGCTTGTTCCTGTCTCTAATGATTAGAACTCCATACAGTGGAGCCCTGGGACACAGGACATGATTCTTAACTGACAGAAATGGGTGCAGCTCTAAAGGCAAATGGATTCTGTTAATTAAAAAAATACTAGGAAACTTGCTCAGCTTTTATTTATAATGATTATTGCTATGCATTTTAAATACTTTTGTAATGCTTCCGTAGGATTATCTCATGGATTCAAGAAACCCCCAAGGCAATCCTCTGTTGCAAATGGATACTTGCTCATGTGTTTGAACTGGGTGAGATTATTCTAACTCACCCTGTATGACAGTCCTTGCACCAAAGCTTTTAAATGTATTTTACAAAAGGTAATTTTTTCATTCTGAACTAAGAATATTCTGTTCCCTGTTTATATTCCTAATACCATTAGGAATCTCATTATGGGGTTATTTTCCAATCTTATTTTTCCACCTTGCATTTTTAAAGTACATTGTTCAACTGTATTAATTAGCTGTTCCATGATTGTTTTCAGTACTTACATGTATAGTTTGGAGCTGGTTGAGTGCACAAGAGGTTGGTTTTTGTTAAACCCTCTGCCATGGAGGAGATAACAGCTGTACAGTAGCAAATCTACAAAATAGGTAGTGATTAAATACCTACCTCTTTTGTGAGGATATTGCAAGACCTCAAGCTGGCACAAACTTAATAAAGCATTCCTTGTGTGTTTCTGTTGGACCTGTATAGCCTGACTTTTTCCAGGAAGCCATAAAAGGAATAAGAAGGGAGCAGGAAACTGTAGCAGGAGTATTAAGATAAAGAATTTTCAGCGAGGCCAAAATTCTACAGGAGAGTTGCAGAGATAAAGAAAACAATAAGAGTTGTGCTACATAGCAGGTGGTTTAACATTTTCAGACTGTGTAAGAAATGTTGTTTGTTTATATTGCGAGGGTTTGTCATCAAAAGCTCAAGACAGAATTTCCTGCTATTATTTGGATTTCATAATTGTGTGTTGGACACTTCCCTTTTGAGTGTTGGTACTTGGTATCTTAAGAAAATTAGAAAAACTGATGTGCAAGAAGATTAGGTCAGATCAGACAGAATGTGTGTATTTTCAAACCTGACATTTGGGGAAAAAAAAAAAAAAGAAAATATTAGAAGAAGGACAAGAATGGTGGGGGGGAGAAGATGAAGCATTTCATTCCAGAAGCATCCTTAACAAAGGAAATAAATCCTCTCAAGTAAACTACCAAAGAGAGCAGGAAATGTTGTATTCCCTTTTCTCCTTTCTAGTGGTGTTTATAAATTTTTCTTTACATACATTTATCACCAGAAAGCAATAAGGAAAGTGAAACCATAATACAGATCTGTTTTTCTGTCCCTTTATCCCTAAGTAGGGTCTGCCAAACCACCATTAAATGAGAAAAAGATGGTGAAATCTTAAAGCTGATATAAATGCCTAGAAAATACTACTTACCTGGGCTTCCAGAAGTTTAAATCGTTTTTCTTGTTCTTTCAACCCACTAAAATACTTGGACAAATTATCTACCCTGTGGAAACAAAGCAAACACCTTGAGCAAAAAGGAGAGGCTTCAGGAGAAATCATGAAATACAAACCATGTGTAACTTTACTACACCTGTGGCCTTTCACTGCAGTTCTGTGCTGCCTAGACATCCCAGAGCCCCTTACAAGTTTTGTCCTTTAAAGGTATTCACAGAAGTATTTCTTTGGGCAGAACAGCAATTCTGGAACACTCTCATGCACCTGTTGCTCAGGGACTCACAAATGACAGGTCAGGGCAGCTATTCAGCTTCTGGTGAGGGCCACTTAGCCTCAGTTGCTGTGGAAATCAAGGGCAGCAGAAAGGAGCTGCTTTGTTTTTTGAGCCACTTGTGTCTTTCCTACCTGGAAACATCAGTACCCAATGGAAACTGATCTTGGTGTGAGAACTGAGGCCACAACAGAGATAAGCCCCTTAAAATTTATGCAAACTTTCAGGAAACTGGCTCGACAGTCAAATCACTTTTTCATGCAGTCCACAGGGATTGCTTAAGGAGCTTCCAAATAGTGCCTCCAAATCACTGAATTATCCCCATGCTTTCTGCATCCTTCACCTGTTCTCCCATCAGTTCCTTATTTTTAGCATCTGATTCCTCATAGATTTGGCAAATCCCTCTCTGGTTTCTCCTAGCTACTCTTTCAAAGTTTCCCTCTCACAGGCCATGTTCCAATCCCATCTATGTGAAAGATCTGCTGCTGGGTGGGTCTAATGCATTTTGAGGTTGGTTCAGTGCAGCCCAAGTTCAAAGAATCACTTCCTGAGGGTTTCCTAAGACTGCTACCACCTAAGAGCAAAAGCAAAAACCATGGGGGTAGTGGTGTTCATCTGAATCTCTTCCAGTCTTTTTCTGGCTCTGCTATACCTGAAATATTGTGAAGCCAGATGGATTCTCACTTTTCCCCTCTGGCAACTTCACCTACAATGCACCATCTTTATTATATACAGGATATAGTACCCTTTGTTTGGAAGCAATTGCATATACATTTATTGCATTATCTCAACAATTAAGCTCTTACTCCTGGAGTTTCAGTGATCTGCTTATGAGAATCAAGTTTAAACCTGTATAATCATTCTAAATTATTATGAATTAAGGGTCTATGTGAAGAGAGGAGTATTTTCTGAGAATGGAAGTATGCTGTTCTGGTCTCCAGCTATTCTGTGAGTTGGAGGTTTATTTAGAAAAAAAGCAGACAGCACAGGAACATTTCCATGGAACTTTCTTATTATGGTAACTTTCACACCCGTTGTGCCTCTATTGGAAGTCTGTTTTATTGTAAGAGAAAACAGCTGGAATGTGTGTTAAAAGCTTCTTTAAGGAGTGCTTTTCTGTCTTAGATGTTTCTGTTCTCCCTGCATATTGTGTCATAAGGGAGACTTTGTTTCTCACTTAAAGGTTAAAACCTCTGAATAATAATCTAGGACTTCTACTTTATCAGACTAAACCAATTCAAGTGATATTCCTAGTGGGAAAATATAGAGAGGTACACAAATGGAGATCCAGTCCCATGCCATAAAGGCATAAGTATTTGTTCTTCTGCATCTGTGGCTAATTCAAGGTATCTTAAACTTCCATTCAAAAGTCTGTGCTGTATTCCTACCAGGGATGAAATTACATGTGCTGCAGTCTAGCAAACAAACTGGTTTTCCACCATTTTCTTCATGAATAAGATTTTCATTGAGCTTGGCCACAGATTTGGCTGGAACTTGCAGGTCTATAATTGTACATACTTCAGGAGTGACAAACATTCTAACATTGTAGAGATGCTGGCCTCTCACATTTTTTCATGGACTCTGTGTTTCCTAACTGCATTCCAGTTGGACCCTTTATATAAGCTTTATAAGAACTTCAATGCTGAACTCGCTGAAAGCTGAAGGCTTGCAAGTTACTCTTAATATATAATAGAATAACTTACTTATTAGATGTGGCCTTCAGCCTTTCTTCATTGCTTTCTTTCTTTTCTTGCTCAAGTTTTACTAGATAATGTTCTTTTTGCACCAGCTCCCATGTTATGATTTTTTGATCGAGGCCCACTGGAAGATCTCTTTCTGTAAGAAAAATAAGATAAGAATTATATTTTACCCCTTTTTCTCTGATACTAGTAGTGAAAAGTTGCTATGCTAAAGGGAGGTTTTTTTTTAGGGTTAATAATTGCTAAAACTCAGAAGCAAATGAAAAAACTATTCCTTAAACCTATCAGTTGTTCAATCTTCAGAAATCAAATCCCTATAACCCATTTTATATTGCTACCTTTGTTGTAATAACTATGATGCATCAAGAAACGCACTGTGGGAAACTGTTTATAGTTTAAATTATAAACCTTAATTTTTTGTTTGTATTCTCCTGGCACTCTTTTGTTAAAAATAAGTTGTAACTCTCAGCTTAAGGAAATCCAACTTGCTCTGCTGTTTTGTATATGCACCATGTCCTTGGAGAGAGTCAGGCTCTACAGTTGCTTGATCACATTTGCTAACAACTCACCCAGGTGTTTTTTCTTGTGTTCCATTTTGTTGAAGAGCCTTCTGAGAACCAGAGTAATGTGGTTGATAATGATAAATGGTGGTGCTAAGGCAGGCCGGCCATGGTATTCAACAATCAGGTTGTAGCGCTGCACTTTCCAAAAGATGTCTGTATTGCCCTGGACAACTTGAAAAGTGTAACTGTAATTTGAGGAAGGGAGGAATAAAAACATGTAACTCTTTTCACCACAACAAGCTAAAGATGAATATAACAAAATTTAGTCCTGTATTTACTTTTAAAAAGGAACAGCAAGGTCAGCAAGTAGTGCTAATCTAATCTAAAGTTTGTGCAAATTCTTAGATGTTACGAGAATTGCAGTTGCAGTCTTTAAATGTTAAATGATACATTTGTTTTGTTTGGCACTTTTGGGGTTTTTTTTTAAGAAAGATAATTCTACTTTTCTCAGGAAAGATCAGCAAACATGCCACATCAGTTCTTCAACCAAATGAATCATTATTAGCTGTGTTGACAACAAGCATTTCCCTGATGTGCAAATCATCCGCTGTAAAGCCTGCCAGGTTTATGGCTGCTGTGCACCTGCAGATTTGTGGTTCCACACAGCCAGGGACTCAGACCCTTCTGTGCATGTTTAATTGAATATCTAGCAGTAAAAGAGGCTTCTTTTCTCCTTATCTCCAATGTGACTAGAGTAAGGATGATGGGAACTTAAGAGCTGTCTCATCACAGGATTCTGCCTATCAATCTCCAAGTGATATTCATTAGGAAAATTACAAGTGTATTTTAAAAGGAATAGCCAGTGAAGTAGAAAATGTGGGCATCCACTTAAAGCTTTGCAGCCTCTGTCCTGATAGGTAGTGAAATCCCTCTTGCCTGAACATAGCAATCAGGAGGTTCATGAGCAGGACGTTTGTGACCAGTAGGAAGATGACCAGCAGGAGTATGACGAGCCAGTTGGCGTAGCTGTTGGGGCAGGATGGTGTGTTCTCCTGTAGCATCTGCAGGGGGTTAAATGTGCAGTTCCTGGGATATGCTCGTGATGCTGCAAAGGAAGATGGAGGGGAAAAAATAGTTATGGCAAATCCTCATGTCGTGTTTCTTTCCTTGGTTTTGTGGAAGTGTAATAGTGTTGTGTACGTAAAAAGACGTTGCATTGTTGTGCAAGGTATTTGCAGCCCTAGGACACTGCAGACCTCCACATCCTGGCTGCTCATTTCGTGGCAAGGTGTCTGTCACAGCTGGCTTTGTAGTAGTGTTCATCATAAAAGGGATTGTCTTGAAAGGGCTGTATCCTTTTTAGACTAGTTTTGAGTCCTCAAAATCAAACCACCTCTGAGTTTGTGTTCCTCCACATCCTTGTGTCCTCATGCCTGGCATGTGGGTTGGAGGAGAAAACTCAGTAAATGCTGGGAAGGGGGTTGGTTCCTCGTTCTAAATTTCAAGTGCTTTGTGTATCTGAGGTTGAGGTTAGGAAGAAGGTCTGGTTCTTCCGCATTAGACTAGAGGCCTAGTGCTGTATTCTGTCTCCAGCTGTGAATTATACCCACAAGTTTAGAGTAGCATAATTATATTTAATTTTTTTCCCTGTATTTTTTCCCTAATAATCCTTTTCCCTGGTGCTACAGATAACCCCCTGGTTACATTCATTAGAGCACGTGGTTATATCAAAGCTCACCAAGCTGGGATTTCTTTCACCAAGGGCACTAGCTTATACTTATCTACACTGAATTTCATTTGATGATTCAGCACTCATGAGGCTCCTCTGCCTCTCTTAGGTGTCAGTTTTTGTCTTTGCTACCCAGTGATGTAGTTTTGTCAGCCAATTTTGTCTTCCTCATTTCCCCTCTCCCTTTCCATATATTTCATGAAGATGTTAAACAGAGTAAGTCCCAGAGAGCCCTAGGATGAACTAATCCCTTCTGGAAGTTGCCCATGTAATTGGTTTTTTTTTTCCTCTGTTACTCTCAACCAGTTATTTACCCAGATAGAGACAACCACTGGAGTTTCAGTGGAGAGAAACACACCTTTCTAGGGAGTGCTACTTTTTGGCCACTAAGTTGAATTATATTCCAGAAATATGTCTCTTTCTCATTACTTTAATGGAAATAAGGGTGACTGATTGTGCTGTACGTGCTTACACCATAGGTATTTAAAATGGACATGAATCACTTTTCTCTCTCTTGTGTCATTCAGGTGTTTTGGCTTTTCAAAGACTTGCTTTTTCCTATTAAGCACAGTGAACATGAGAAAATGCTTACCAGTTTGCTTCTGTCTATGGCTTTTTTGGGTTCTATTTTATATTGCTCCGAGTTTGACTCCCACTTCATTATTGCTGTGACATTTAGCACTGGCTAAATGCTGTGGTGTTAGTGCAGACTTCTTTGGGAGGTAGGTGACCTATTCTGTATTTTACTGCTTACCTATCAGAAATGTTGCCTTTGAACTTCTATGTCTAATTATTTCAGTGTCTTGTGATTATTTTAATGTTGTTTTGCTTGCAATGCTGCACATAAGCAATTACTAGCTTTATTTGATTTGGGCAGCTTTATCTCCAGGGTAAATAAATGCTCTGGAGTAATTTTATTTTAAAATGTGTGTTTGCTTATGGGCAGAGCAGTACGGTTTTAACACTGTTGCATTAAACTACTGCCAAAATGTGTGGAGGTGCTGTTTTTCATTATTTGAGTTTACTGAGGGTTATCTGGGTCTAAGTTAAACTGAAAGGAAATGGATTGAAGTGAAAGCAGATATGCCAGCCTTTAAAACTGCAAATCCTTGTGTATTTCTGAGAGCTTATCTAAACAGGGCCAGCCCTTATGCTCTAATGTAACTCCACAATGCCCATTATCTCTTTGCAAATACACTATTTGTGTGACAGCAATGTGTAAGCTTTGGCCTGTAGGACAAAGACTTAAAAAAGGGCAATACTTGGAAGGAACTCCATGCTCTCATCAGAAGTGTGCATTCAAAAATGGCCAAGTTAGGGGGAAAGAAGTTTCCTCACTGTCTATTTCATCCAGTGGAATCTGGCCAAATATCTGAAGGTAGGGACGATAGAGAACCCTTCTGAATATCCATTCCACTCGGCTGTCATCGGGATGGAGCAGAGCTTGAGTTGTCACACCATAGGCAATGAGCCACACGCTCAAGAAAAACAGAAAGAAGAAAACATCCTTCATCTGCAAAAGAGAGGGGGAGGAGAGAAAAGGAGGGCCAGTGACTGTGATAGCATAGTCAAGGAACAGTAGTCTTTCTATATGAATATGGCTTAAAATAATTGTTTCTTTACAAGCTCATTTAGGTTCAGGGAGGTGGAATAGGCTACAGTTCCATGCCCAGAATTCCTCGTCTGACCTTGCTGTTACCACATTATCCTTGGCCTGTAGTAAGCATTCTTCTTTGATAGCTCATTTAGATAAAGGCCCATTTTAAACTAAAATCTTGCTTTCCAATCATCAAACATTTAAAAATGAAATAGATTTTATCTTTTAAGTGACTGTCACATTTTATCTTTTAAGTGCATATTTTCTGTGAGCTATCTCAGTACCATGGACTGCTTTACTGTGAATTACCAGAGTTCTGCTGCAGCAGAGAATCCTGGTAGCAGTCAGTGCTCATTGATGAGTACTGAGCCACTGATGCAGCAGGCAGAGAAGGCTGCAAGGATCAGGTTCCTTCTGTCTTCAGCTTTCAAGCTAAGTGGTGCATCTGAAAGATTCTTTTTGGGGCTTCCTGCTTTTAAACATTGTGTTTCTCTACAGAAGCAGAAGTAATTGAATCCTAAAACACTTACTTAAAAAAAATCTAATATGAATATCAAGTGCAATAATTTTTCCCTGGTGGAAGAGGAACACTTCATCCTCTCCCCATCTGATTTGACAGAGTTCATTAGGGACTGTAGTTTCCTTTCAATTAGATTATTGGATTGTGCAGTTACCCATAGCATAGGCATTTCAGAGCTCCAGGATGTTACTTGGAGTTCTGATAAGAAACATCATCTCTAACCCAGGCAAGACAGAGCTGATGTCTGACTTCCATTAATCTTTTTCGTTTTCTGGATGATCTAAAATTTAGGAGTGCTGCAGGGCTGTAATGGTATCAAGGTGATGGGAGAGTGGTGAAAAGTCTGGAACTATTTTTTTCCAATCTGCAGTTTCTCTGGAAATGAGTATTGTTCTGGAATTTTAGCAATTACCAGACCTGTTTCAGTGAATCTGTAGCAAGGGTATAAAGAGGAAAGACAGTAAGAGACCATCTGGGATTGCTTCTCTCTTAAATAAGGGAGATGATTTTGCTCGAACCCTGTTGAACCCTTCAGGCAGGTTTCATTTACTGAAGAAACCTTCACTGTTACTTTGATGTAAGGTTCAACACTGAAATACCAAAGCTGAGGCATCCTGTTGGCTTGGGTGGGGCAAAGATGAAAGGTGCCTGGTAGGGCTTTTTTCTAGGCTGCTGTTTATGTTCTTGTTACATTTCCCAACCCCGGTGTTATCTTGCAGGACCTCAGGTGCCAGCAGAGTGGGCACAGGTAGGACTTGCTCAAGGCCCTGGTTTAGCTTGGCAGGCAGCAAAGGAAGGGTTAGGAGCTGTAGCTCTGACTTGTTCTCTCACAATAGAAGTCTGCTAATGCCATAACCTAGATAATGAACAAGAACAAATATTTATTTGCCATTTACCCTTTTGCTAGTCCAACCAAATGTCATCTCAGAGTTATTGCATTTGTAGACAAATTCAAATAGCTTGGTAGTTATGTTTATTCAATGTATAGGCTTGTTTAGACTGTAGAGCTTTTACTGAGTTCTGCTGTGAGTCACAAATCAAATGTTTGTAGATTCTGTAATGGTACTTACAATTAGATGAACTCTAGTAATCAGTGAGCATGAGCTAATTGACCTGGAGGATTAACATGCCTAAATAAAAAGCTATTTCAACATACGAATGCATACCCAAGCACAGTAACTGTAATCCCAGTGTCTTGTTTCTTGAAGGAGAGCAGTAATAACAAAAAAAAATTATCAACATCTTCCAACATCTGCTCACAAAGTACTAATATATTTTCATTGTAACAGGGAGCTAAAAAGTACAAGTAAGAATAACTCCTGTAGGAAACTTGTAACCATCCTTTTCCACTGATTCCCCGCCCCCCCCCCCCCCCCCCATTCCTTTTCCCCTGATTCCCCCCCCCCCCCCCCCCCACTTGCTGAAAAAACCCATTTTTTTCCCCAAGTCGTTTATTGGAAGCCCTTCTTTACATGGCCTGTCATCTGCCTGAGGTCTTGGCCCTGGATGCACACAGCTTAGGAAGTAGGAGGAATAGCAGTAAGGCAAAGACTGCTCTTCGTTAGTCAGATCTGAGGATAAATTATTAGGTAAAATACAAGGATTAGTAAATTAGGACCAGCTTAATGAACTATGGAGGTCTGTGAAAGGATCTACTTCAAACATTCCATCTTATAACAAAATACAGGAATATGCAAAAATAACAGGCCTTAAAAATGTAAAAATAAAGACAGATTATTATAAAGTTCTTTCTTTTCTAAAGACAAGATTTCCTACTCTCTGTTTCTTAGAAGGCAGAAGTATTTATCTGAGACAAAATGCACACTTACCATTCTTTCCACAATAATGATCTTTGGTCCAAGTTGTTTGTGAATTGCAAAAATATGGATAAGTCTAAGTGTAAACACCATAAAATCAATGGCGAGTATTGTACGACCAGCTTGAAAAGTTGAGTTCAGCATCCTGCAGAAGACATGGAATGAAATATCAGCTCTCAGCAAGTACTGATCATGCCTGTGTGGTGATGAGAAATAACCAAGAGATGGAGGACCCCTCTTTTCTCTCTCTTGGCTTCAATGAGATTTATTAACAAATAATAAAAAATAAGGTACTTTTAGTAAAAGGGATTTCAGAAAACAAACAAAGCAGAGCTTTTCAGTACATGTGTTTGGATATATAAATTTTAGAGGCTCCTACTGCAGAAACGCATCTCAAAGCCTGTAAAAATGAATGTTAGAGCCTGTGCTCTCATGCCTGTCCTCTCATGAGACTCAGCTGTCAGTTGATGTGCACAGCCCTTGCTACTGATGCAAATACACACCTGCAGATTACCCCAATTATGAAGAGAAAGATGGTGACCATATCACATTTATTCCAGTTATCCTCCACGTACAGTTTAAATTTTTTCATTAAATTTGTGTCTTCATCTGTATAGAAACTCTGAAAAAGAGAAATAACCTCTGGTATTGATCTCTTTCCACTTTCACTATTTCCTTCTGAGTGTTAACAGGATACCTGTTGCCTTTTTCCCTTTCATTGCAAAGAGCAAAAACAAATTCTGAGCATAATAAGGGGGGGGGGGAAAAAAGTGGTTAAACAATGCAGCTTCCAGAGTTCAGTTTCTAGGCATTGCTGTTTAAACAGCATGAACAGATTTGGCATTTCTGTGCTGGAATTGTCAGTGAATGCACATTTGATTATCTAGGCAAGGAGTTGGCTTTCTTAATTGGGTTTTAGCCTGGCAGTCTTCATGTTTTACATATTTATAATTAAATGTTCTTTGATCTAGATGTTTTCCATGTCCTTCTGTTAATGGCCTTGCTGCATAATTTCAAATAAATTGTGATGAACTTTCCTGTCTCTTTTGCTTGTATAATGAACACTTACTGGTTCATCCAGAGTAAATGATTGTAACTGCCTTTTTTTTTGTGTCTAAAGAGAAGAGCTTTGTGCACCCACAGTTGCAACACACTTGCACCACAGTTATTGTTTCAGTTTTTAAACTGAGGAATTTCCAAAACCAGTAATAGGAGACTAATAGAGAAGGCCTTTTGGGGGTTGGTGGTTTTGTTTGGTTGGGTATTTTTTTAAGAAAAGCAAGCCCAAAAGAAATCTGCTAATATTTTGAGTTGAAAATTATTTTAGGAAAAGCCACAAATAATCTGAATTAATTTACTTGTGATTTTTTTTAAACAGTCCCCAGCGGGGAAGAATCTCTTAAAAGGATGTAGAGCTGTCTGCTGTGTTTCCAGGTGTAGAATGTAACTTCCAACTTATATTGTTTGTGGTGCGAGGACATAGTTCTGTGGAATGAAATCAGAGAAGGATTTACAAAGCAGAGAATATCTGAATGCTGGCAGCCCACTTGACTTGGCTCAGGCTGCAGTAGGATGGAAAAACAGAGGTAGAGATGTAGGTTTATATGGGGGAAGAAGAGCTTGCTCTGGGAGAGAGGGGTGAGATGTTTAGGATAAGCTTAGTTCAGTGTTGTTCTGTGCACCTGACACTTGAGATGTCCAAGCCTGTACAGTTATACAGATTGTAAATCTATTGGAAATATTGCTGCAGGTTTTGCTGTGTTGGCACTATGGTGATGCAGGTTACTCACCTGTCGGATCTCTTCCAAGACAAGGGTAAACACCCAGAAGTAGAGCACAATTTCTTTAACAGATGGACCCTGAGGTGGAGGTGGTTTAAAGTCCAGTAAAAGGACATAAGTGAATAGAAAGAGAAAAGCAAAGTACATTATAACATTCCCCATAAACACAGTTACAGGGGCACTCCAGAATTTTCTCCACCGGGTAAACGTGAATGTTGCCCATGCTGTGTTTGCAGAAGGGTTCTGTTTTTCCAATGTGTCATTTCCTCTGCAAACCAAAAAGAATACATGCTTGGTGACAATCTCCTAAAATTAGTTCATGGGAACAGGCTCAATATTATTCTATATAAAGCTTCTTGTAAGATAGTAACAGGCAGATGCTGGGGCTGGCCAAGGGGGAAGGCTGTAGAAGTCAGAGCAATCATATTACTATAGCAGAAATATTTCAAATCAAAAAGAAGGTTTTGAAAAACCAAGTCACATCAGAATTATGTGAGCATTTTTGTTATTTCAGTTTAGTTGTATTGATTTTATATGTTAACTTCATTGTGCTCTGCATGGACTGCAAATGCACAAGCAGAGGGGGAAGGGTGATTGGCCTTTATACACCTAAATAATAGAAAAGAAAATGGCCAAATAATTTTTGTGAGTCAGCTCTTAATTATTTTGGCTTTAAAATTTCTTGTGGTGTTTGTCTGTGGAAGTTCTTGTTGTTGCTGTGACTTTGAACTTCTGACCCAGTCTCTAAGTGCTGGATCGTGTTAAGCCTGTGTTTCTTGACTATCCTTGCTGGAATCTGATAGACCCTACTGAAGAATACCTTGCTGCTTTGCATAACTGCCCTTTGTGATTAAATTAGAGTAAGTTGCAAAATAGCAATATAGAAGCCTTTTAGCAAAAAGAGCTGACCTCATAAAATATGTATTAAGGCAGTCTTTGGGTGGTGTGGAATAGGGCAAGTATTTTGGTAACTGAAGGGAAATTTGACCTATACATTTACAGCTGTTTTGCTGTGTTTTGGAACATGAGGTGGTATCTATTGGCAATGGAAAATATCCTGTGCAGAAAATGCAAGTTTGATAGCAATTTGATCTTTGTGTGAGGATTTGTTTCCACATAAAATGGTCTCCTGTGTAAGCTAGGGATGTTATTGGACCTTTAATTTTGTGATTCTTACTCTGAGAAGTTTGATCTCCGACAAAGGATGTGCACACTAGGGTATGTTTTCAATTTCACCTCACAGAAAATAAACAATGACTCTTCACTGGTTTTTAATTTCCTCTGACAATCTTGCTAATTATTAAATACATTTGTTACAAGAGAAAAGTTCTCTTTGTGGCCAATCTTTTCTATATGCCTGATTCTGTACTACCTCTCATTTATGACATCATGAGATACATTCCCATGGTAACAGGCTAATATCATAAACAGATAATTGCAGCTTTACTGTAAGATGCTGAAATAGATCTGGGACGGAGAGAGCCTCTTTGTTAAAATAAATTGCTAGGATAATAGCAATTGGAACATGCAATGTAATGACCAAACCATGCTGCACTCAGGATATGGAAGTGCTTTATGATATTGCTTACAAATAGCTCCCAAGAGGCAGATGCTTTTACACCTATTTTATAGGTTAGGGAGGGAGAGAGAAGAACTAATGATTTTCTCCAATATACCAGCAGTTAAATACCAGAGGTAAAAATAGAACCTAATAACTCTGACTTGGTCCAGGACTTCATACTGCAGCTGACGCTTCCTCTCTACCGCTGTTCACATATTTCTGGAGTTCTCTTTAAATCATGGAAAATGTGTCAATTTAGCCACTCTTTAGCCATTAAGAGGACTTTGTGCCAATCAAAAGTCTACTTATCCTGACTTAAGTCCTTGTGGTCTCCCAGGTTTTGGTGATAAGTATGTGGTAGAAGTATGGGGGGGATTCTGCTCTGAATCAAAGATGTGTGACTGACCACAAGAAACTGAAAAAACCTTTGTACTCAGTTACTCATTTGTGTGATGCTCTCTCTAATGCCTAAGGTTCCTTAGAGCCCATCTGTCAAAATATAAATTAAGAGTGTGAGAAGCTGACTCAATGTAAAATTCCCTGGTACTGATGGGTGCAAGCACACCTTTGTAAGAAAGTATGCAGTGATGCAAGGTTCTGCTGAGATCCTTCTTTCTGCTCAGCTCAGTAATCTGATAACTTCCTAAAATCCATTTTGTATTAATCATCCTGAGCTGATGGGAATGTCAGGAAATGCTATTGATTCCCAAGTAAATTCCTTGTTCTTAATTTCTTGTAGAAATTATCTGCTCAGAAAAACTAAACTGGTGTCTCCTTAAAGCAGTGCTATATCTCTGTTTATTTTCCTATATTCCTTTTAGAGAGCAACAACAGCAGTAATCAAAGGGCACAGCAATAATCAAAGGGCACTTCCTGAGGAGTAATGACTTTCTTGGCCCTTCAGCTGATCTTTAGATCATTAGCTGATGATCTAAGGACGATGGTCACTAATACACAAGAAGTGTCCTGTTCTTTGACTGTTCTCATAAAAGCTACACTAGCTTATGGTTTTAAACTTACCTATCTTCTTCCTTGGAGAAAAACAGAGTCCTCTCTGAGTCCAAACTGTCCAGCTCTCTGAATGGCTCTGGCTCATTCTTTGATTGTTTTTCTTCACTGTAAGGAAAAAAAACCTCATTAGTTAAAAGATGATGCTTAGCCATTTTTCACTACTGAATTGGCATTGATACAGAACTGGTACCATGTCCTTATCTTGGATCTGCTCTGCTGGGGAGCTATTAAATTAGGGCATAAACTTTATCTTTACAAATTCTGTTTATTTTTAAGGAGGAGGCTGAATTCACCCATAAGACTCAGAGAAGTGATAATTGGTGTGCTTCATAAAAATGGAGCAGGATGCTCAGTTTCCTCAAAATAGTTAGGATTTGAGCAGAAGTAAACCCCTCAGTCAGTCTTAGAAGAGAACTGCTCAATGCTCCATTCCAATTAAGCAATTAAGAAGGGAAATGCCAGAAGCAGTAGGGGACATGTGACAGTTCTTGCATTTCCAGGGAAAGGAGGCAAAAAAATGGAAGTTTGGAAAGGATTGTTTTGATTATGTGTAATAATTCAAACCTTTCCATGAAAACTTTGCCAAAATGTCACATTAAATGAATTTGTGAATCTGGCAGCCAGAAGGTCATCTTTAGTGATGCTGGCGGAAGGCAAATCTTGAGTCAGCATTGCCAAACAAGTTTTCCTCTTGCTTTTTATGTAGTTTAAGAGTCAAGAAACATGTATTTCATAACATGTTATTTCATATTGCTAATTCTCATTATTTGTATGTGATTCTCTGAATGTTTGAGGTTTTCCTGAAGTTTCAGATTGACAATTTTTATGACCACCTGAGCAGCTTCTGGCTGCTCTTTTTTTCTCTTCTGTTTTTTAAATTTTATTTGGTTGGTTGATTTTTATGGTGTGGGGCTTCTTGTTTTGTTTTATTAGTGTTTGTAGTACATGGATTCTTTTTCAAGAAAACCTAAGATTGTAAGGCACTGAATTTGAAATTCTTACTTGATTTTGATTGACTGGTAATTTAATGTCAGTCCCATGTTTTTAAGCTAGACTTATGGATATCAAGGCTTGTGGCAGATAACACTGCTTTGTGATTGCTGTTTTCCTTGGATAAGATACTGAGGTTTGAGCCAGGCATCTCCAGATCTAGAAACAAATTGTGCTACAGCTGCAGATATTCTACACATTGCCGTGTAGAATCTGGAGCTGACAGAATTCCAGCAGGCTTTCCTCTGGACAGTGGAAAATGGAATGATCTCTGTGAAACCATGGCATTGATCTTTTAAGTTTGGCAACAGGACACACAAATCCCTCAGCCCTATAGAAAACTGATTTGGTTAGGTGATATTAGGTGATGTTACTGTTTATAATAACTTCAGGGAGAAATTTTGACTCTGAATATTTTTTTATGGCCTATTTTTCATCACTTATTTATCTCTTGCACCCAGTTAGTTGTGTTTATACCTGAATGATATTAAATTGGTGTAGATTAGGAAAGGACACCAGAATGCACAGATTAACTTGAGGATCTGTGTGCTTGTAGACATGTCTCCCCACCATATTTTTGTCAGGAAGGCCTGAAAGTCAAAAAGAGAAGAGATGTCTTTAATGTCACAAAAAGATACTTGCAGATGAAGCACACCTGAGACAGTGAATGCTCTGATAACCTCACGGCTTCAGAGCAAACAGGTTCTCTGTGTGTCCTTCTGCAGGTGCTGAGTATGCAAGGAGTTATCTGGAGACCAGTGGAAAGAACAGCAAGCCAAACGGAATTAAGCAACATCTGTAATACTAAGGAAGCCCAAGTCAGGCACTGGGAGATAAAAGCAGCATCACTCTTAATTTAGCTTTGTGTATGTGGAGAGAAGTCAGGTTGTGAGAGCAAAGCTGAATAGTAATTTAATTTAGCTTTTATCAGTGAGCTCTCTCTTGAATCTGAACAAGGAGTTACCTCACATCTTGGAGCAGCTTCATTATGCCCCAGGCAGATTTATAGTGCTTTTCTGATGCTTCTCTGTGAGCAAGAAAGGAATAAAAAGCAAAAAAGCACACGATGGATTAAGGGCTAAACCTTCTCAGCACACTGGTGTGTGTGCCAGCTGGATGAGAGAGTGGGGAAAGGGGGAATTGTGCTGCTTTGGCAAGGACATGGTGTAATGTCCTCTTCATCTGTTGCTAGAGGGAGAGGAGTGTCCCTTCTCTGAAGAACGGTTCTCAGGGGAATAGATCCATTGGGGTTGTTCAGTTCCTGTGCTGCCCTCTCCTGTGTGCAACTCAAGGCCCTGGGGACATTTAAAACTTACCTGGACACCGTCATGTGCAAAGAAAGTCTTTGCATCTGCTTCTGTGGCCAGCTGAAGGCACGTGGTTTTGCTCCAGTACTGATTTTTCCTCACCAACAGAGCAAATGCTCTCTCCTCACTGTTGTGGTAGCATTCACTAAACAGTTCTGCCATATGAAGAAAACACAGACAAAAAAATGTATCTCTTGGGTGATCTTCTTACACTTTGAAGGATGAGCTGTCATGCTGTCCTCACTTTCCTGAACAGACTAAAGAAGACAAGCAGCCCAGTTTTTTCTTGTAGACAACAAATCCTTCATTTTGAGACAGAGCTACTTGACATAAAATAATATTAGACTTGGTGGAGTGTTGTGGCATAATTGTTTCCAGAGAAACTGGTCCTGGAGCTTAGAAACCAGGATAAATTTAATGAGTAAAAAAAAAAAAAAAAATCAACATCGTCTCATTAGACAAGATCCAACTTCTTGTGTCTGTTCCATTCTACTGATTCACTTGATTATCTCAGTACCTTTCCCAAGGCAGCCTACACCTTGTTACGCTGTGAGGATGGGCAAAAAGGTCAAGTGCACTTAAAATTACACAAAGAAATTTTTTCTAGTTGATGTGGTATTTATCATTCTTAAAGAAAGTTTGCTTTGCATAATCAGAAATTAAAACTGAGGATCTGATCTAATACGTATCAAAGCTAAGAAGGAGAAGTTCTGTGTATTTGATTAGGCCCCATAATTCCATTACTAAATTACTTGAGCCCTGTGATTATATGAGAACCTAATTTTTAATTTTTGTAAATAATAATGGCCCTGTGAGAAGAAGGGAAAAATGTGATCTCTGTGTAAATAATGCAGCAACGCCTGCATGAGCCTTGCGCTGCTCGATGAACTACCCCAAAGGAAGGGGAGCCTCTGTGTTTGTTTCCAGGTGAGGCACATTTTAAAGCCCTCTCCCCACAGCATGAAGGTGTGGATTGGGCTGAAGTCAGATCAGCAGAGAAGCTTGTGTGCAGACATCTGTTCCTACAGCAAGCAAAGGGGCGAGGGCTCAGCATTCCAGCACTGCGGATGCCTGGATCTGACTGCTGTAGGGAGGGGCATCTCGTCTGCTGCAAAACCAGCCTGAGCCTCACTGCAGATTGCAGTGCACTTGGCCCTCTTCTGGGTGAGGTAATCTCAAATTATTTTTAGCAGCAATGACAAAACTTAAAACTTGTTGCTCTAGTGGCCCTTACAGAGCAAGCTTGATATTGCAGGAAGAGCAGGCTGCTGTGAGCCTGGAAGTGTTTTGGCTATTCAATCTTTCACATCACTGTAACACACCTTGTACTAAGATCAGACAATTAAAATACCAACAAGCAGCAGGAGAGTATCTGTGTGTCCCAGGGGGCCTGTCTTGGAACAGAGATTTTTTTTTTCCAAAATGAGTGGGTTTTAAATCTTTCCTCTGAATGTTTGGGACTGCCTGTGCTGCAAGGTTGTTAAATTATTCATGACCTTTTACGACTGAAACTCTATTTTTTTCACTTGCTTGCCTTCCAATGGCAGTTCCTTCATAAATTTTCAATGCCATTCAAAAAGTGCCATTACTTACCAACAGCGAGCTGCTCATACTTGGCCTCTTTCATTATACAGGCTGCTTTGGTCTCCGTCTCCAGGCGGGACATCTCTTTCAGGATCTTGCAGGCTGCCAGAGCTGAAGCTACACCCTCCTGACCCTGTGGAATTGAAGGGGTCGCTGCTGCCACCCTCCACTGGAGGGCATTTCTGAACGGGGAAGAAAGTTCATGCCTTTCAAGCAAAATCTTCCCTCCCGTATAGATTTGAAAGTCGAAAATGATGATCAAAATGCCAGTTTTGATGACATTTGAGAATGAAAGCCACATATTGTGGATGCCCCATCCCTGGCAGTGTTCGAGGCCAGGCTGGATGAGGTTTTGAGCATTGTCTAGCGGGAGGTGTCCCTGCAAACCTGTGTAGCGGGAGGTGTCCCTGCCCGTTGCTGGGGGTTGGAGCTGGATGATTTTTGAGGTCACTTCCAACCCAAACTATTCCATGATTCTTTATTGGTAGTTCTTGTGCCTTATAAGGCTGGCGACTTCTGGGTCCAAGCTCTTAGAGGCACCTGATTTGGGATAGCAATCAAGGACAGAAAGGAGAACAACACGCTCTGGAAACAGAGCAACGCGTTCTCCCTGTGCCGAGACAGCTCCAGCGTGGCTGTGCTGGGGCGGAGATGCGGGCACGGCAGGGAGCAGAGCTGGCCGGGGCGGGGATGTGCGGTGTGCTGCGGGGATGTGCGGTGTGCTGCGGGCCCGCACGGTGCGGATGTGCGGTGTAGCGGCCGGGGCAGGGATGTGCGGTGTGCTGCGGGGATGTGCGGTGCCGATGTGCGGTGTGCCGCGGGCCCGCACCGTGCGGTGTGCTGCGGACCCGCACGGTGCCGATGTGCGGTGTGCTGCGGACCCGCACGGTGCCGATGTGCGGTGTGCTGCGGGGATGTGCGGTGTGCTGCGGGCCCGCACGGTGCCGATGTGCGGTGTGCTGCGGGCCCGCACGGTGCGGATGTGCGGTGTGCTGCGGGGATGTGCGGTGTGCTGCGGGCCCGCACGGTGCCGATGTGCCCGCACGCACACAGCCCCGCTGGGGCTGCCCCCGCCAGATGCGCTGCTCTGCAGGGGCAGGGATGGAGCTGAGAGCTCTCTCTCTGTCTGTGGGGGCAGGGGGGCTCCCAGATGTGGGAAGCAGGGCTGGGTTGTGAAACAGGAGCCGATTATGCCAGCTCGAAGCTCAGCCTTGGAGGGCGCGATGCTGCGCGCCGGGCACGTAAGCTGAAGATGCTTCAGCGCTCTCACTTCCCTCCCGTCACGCTCGGAGCCAAACAATCGGCCCCTGTCGGAGGCACAAACCCTGCTCCTGGGAGCTGTGACTCCTCGGGAGCTGGGGGAGCGGGGCTTCAGCCCGGGCTGATTCACACCGGCTCCTGCTCTCCCTGGCCCCGCGGCAGGAGCCACGCAGAGATGAAAGGCGCTATAAATGCCGCCTCTCGTGTACTGCAAACGAACCCATCTGTCATCAGAGCTGCAAGGCTGAGCAAAAAAACATCTCGTAAACTTGAAATATGCCATTGCTTCACCTGAAGCAGCTACAGCTCGGAGCTTACCATAGCCCAGAAATAGTTTGCCATCTTGTGCCGGTTTTGAAGTACTGCCCACACAAACAAATCCCTCCAAGGATTTTCGCTTTTCTGGTTCATGTCCAAGGGCCCAGGTAATCGCTTTGTGTTCGTTTTGTCCTGAAATATGGTTTGAAGAATTAAAAACCTGGCTGGCAGTCTCGCTCCAGGAGCAATGACATGATCTAAGATTCTCTCAGCCTCGCTGAATACTTCACATTTCTTTGACTTTTCAGTAGGACCAAAAGGTAATCATCTCATTCTGTACTGAGTTAAAGAATCCTTGTATCCCCAGTATAACCCAATATGTGTGAGAACTTTCTGGATGAAATGGTGACTCCACTGAAGCCAATGCTAAAGTTTTCATTGGCTTTATTGAGGCTGGGGTTTCATCACTGGTGTGTAATATCAGACAAGAGAAACATGTGATTAACTAATCTGAGCTTGCCTTCAATTATATCGGGCTCCGCTCTGCTGCCACAGAGGACAAGGCTTCTGAGAAAAGGGAACAAAAGGCATTTTATTTCATCAGAAATAAATCTTGCCAAGGCCCTGTACAGGACAAGAATAGAGTACGTCAATACCCCTTTTTAGTCCTTCCTTTGAGAAACCTTTCCCCATGCAGAGAGCAGTTTAAGTAGAACACTCATTCCTTCAGCACTCGATAAAAAAATTGTCTAGAGGAAGTGTAGCCGCTTAGGTCAAGTTCTGAGTTTTAAGTATATTTAAAAACTACCTTATTATCTATTGTGTTGGTTAGAAGCAGCTAGGGTTTATTTTAATTTAATTTATTTTTAATTAAATAGGGCTTTGTGAGAATATATTTTTTTAAATAATTTAAATGATAGGATTCTTTTCAAATTTATTTTAATGGCACTTTTTTTTGTGGGGGGGGGGGTGTTTTTTCACTTTGTAGCGAGCTATTGAATCAACTACATTGCATAGAAAGCCTTGCAGGAGACAAAGATATCCTAAAAGTCTCATCTGTTTTTGTAACCACTAGTTCCTAACCTGAAAAAAGATATACAATTTGGCAGCAGTGATGCCGGTTTCCCAGCACTGTGACGCTCTTTCTGTTGCCAGTGATAATGGGATTCAGCCATGGGAAGAAGATTTAAAAGGGAAAAAGCTAGTAGGCAGCAGGAGCTGATCTCTGAACTGGGCCTTATCTGCAGCACTGGGCTTTAGCTCACTTACTGCCAAATGCCAGAAAGGTCAAGTGAGGCTTTGGGGGCAAATTTTTATTTCTGGCAAGTTTGTAAGTCTGGAGTATGCTTAGTGACTTCAGAGGTATTGTCTCAAGTTGCTCATCCTTGTGAATGAAAAATGCAAAGTAGATTAAAACTTAACTTTTCATACTACTAATTAATTTAGCTAGGCTTTATCAAAGCAAAAGTGATTTAACATCTCAAAAAAAATTTTTTTTTTTAAATTGGTGTCTAATTTTAACAGTTTTTAGGTGTAATTAGAACTTGGCAAATACCAAAAGGCTTAATTGTTTCATTTGTCTGAAACAAAACTCTAATGAAATTTCTTTATACATCTTTGTTTTAACACCTTGCACCCAAACTTATTTTCAATGCTTTTGCAAGCACTTTGGTACTTAGGCATTTTAATGTTAAATACATTGTCAAAATGCAAAAATGATGATGCATCTCTTGCACCACTGTGGATTATAGACATCATTGCACACTGGTACCCCCATCACATATTTTCCTTGTGATATGTTGGCCAGCGCACTTGCCAGGGCCACGTCACACAATTGTTCCTACTTCTTGCTCTGTGTTCTGGCACTCCATAAAAAGACTAAAATGCTCTAAAGGCAAATATCAAATACTGGATATTACTGAATATCACTATCTGAGTTCAGTCTACTTGTACAGAGTATAAATCTGAGAATAGTTTATTGTACAAAGATGACCATTTTCAGGCCTGGGATTGAAAATCTCCATTGCCTGCTTTTCTTTCTCCTAAAAAAAAATTGCCTTTTCACTACTACTTCTTGAAATTCTGTAAAAAAAAAAAAGAAAAGAGAAAAGCAGACCACTATTTTTATGTTTAATTACTCCTTCATAAATGCAAATCTTATTTGTAAACCCCACACATCTTTAATTAAATCTGTTCCCTGCCCCACCCCAAAGACTAGACCTAGTTAAAATGGTACAAATTCTATATTGGAGGGGAGCAATGATGCAAAGCTGTGACTCACAGATTTCTTCTTGCCTCCATGTCTGAGGTCTTGATAGAAACCTTTGCATGCATCATGAAGGAAATCCTTGAGGACTCTAGAGACCTCGCTGAGAGTGAAGAGGGGGCAGATCTCCTTCTGCTCACTCAGCTGCTGACCAGTGAGCCCTGCCAAGGTCAGTTTGCTTTCTTCATGCTTCTTCAGGAGAAGTTCATAGAGGAGACATTTCTGAGAAATGGAGCAGTAGAGTCTCTGCAGACGACTGTAGGTCAGGAATTCATATATGTTAGCCCCATTGTCAATAAATAGCTTCACAAATTCTGGTTTGTTGTTGACTAGAGCATCCATCATCACTTCCTCCAGGTCACAGGACTAGATTGATGAAAGAGAAAAAAAATAAAACAAACGAAAAAAGGAAATTTTGGGGGGTAATCATGGATGGATGATGAGAGAGGTTAGATTTAACAGGCACGTTTTGTCTTCCACCAGTCAACAGTGAGTACAATAAGAAAGAGGTGGGACTTGCTTCATTTTTCTCTGACAAAATGTCTGTGCCAGTGTTAATGTTAAAACATCAATATAAATTGTGTGCTGTAGGACTTGGTGTGAGGCACCTGCCACACTGGGTATTTGTACAGCAGTTACAAACAGTGACATTCTTTGTGCCACCTTCTAACAGTAATATCTGCCTGCTTCTTGTGCTTTGTAAACTCTGCTTTCTTTGCTATAATGTCTATACAGATGCATTGTTGCTCTCAAACAGCTCCAGAAAGGGATGATGACCACTGAGTTATTCCTCTGTTTTTAGCCATTATCATACAGGGGGGCAGAAAGAAAAACAGCCTCAGGAAGGATAATGCCCCTGCCCAGTCTCTCAGTAGAGTGTGCAGGTAGTGGTAAAAACTGAAGCCATCTTTTGGCATGCTCCAGTGTCCTGTACACGTTGGAACATACACTGAGTGTCCTCTAAGGCAAAAAAACCTGGTACCTTCCACTCCACGTCACCATTAAATATTTCACTTTTAGCAATGTCGACCCTATTCCAGGCCACTGCCAGTTTCAGTTCATCCAGATATTCCTGAGCCTCCTGACTCTGACTTTTACAGGCTAGAAAAAAATAGGAAATGCAAATGAAGTCAGCACTTTATAGTTATGTTTAACTTAATATAGTATTGGTACTTTGATTAGCAATGCAAGTTCTCCTTCAGCTATCACAGATCTGTGGGTTGCTTGATCAGAAACCCTTCACAGCAATGGTTTCCCAAATTAAGAAACATTAATATTCAGATGTGTTATTTTTTTTCTACATGAACTCTATTAAAAACATTAAATTTAAATTACTTTTGGATATTAAGAGGGACTCTGGCCTGCAGAGGACAGGACTGGCTGTTGGTTTTGCCTTTTGTCAATTAGCACATCAGGAACAGAATGTCTTTTTTTTTTTTTTTTTTTTTTTTTTTTTTTTTTTTCCCTCCCATGCTAAGTTTAAGCTAACACAAACTTAACAGAAACTGAAATAGATGGGAGCACAAGTAATGTCTTCTTTCAGAAGATACAGTGGAGATTTCTTATAGGAGAAATGGATTGTCTCTGAAACAAAGGTAGTTTTGGTCTACTTGTAGGTTTTGGTTTTGTTTTCATTGAGGGTTTTTTTAATGGTTTAATCAGAATAATATACTGCTCCAGCATATTTTAGTTCTTTTATAGCCTCTGTTATTAAAAGAAGCAAGTCAATGAAATAAAGGAGTGGCTAAAATAGTACCATACAATAGCATGAGCTTAAAAAGCAAACACTAGTTTAAAGGAAGCTTACGGGAGCTACAGTAACTGCCACAGTTCATTTGTCAATAAACAAACAAAAGAACAGTGCATCAGAAATGAAATCTGATCCAACAGTCAACTGAATTTGCTCTGGAAAAAGAGGAAATATATTTATGGCATAGAAGTCAAGTAAGATAAACATTACAATGTTTGCTTATTCTACCTTACCTTTTACTAAGGCTTTCAAAATGACTGTGTCTAGTTCTTCTGAACCATCTTGCTCAAAGTTGTGCAGAGTTAGAAGATGCTGGTGTGAAATAATATTCTGAATCTATTTGGAGTCAAAACAAAAGTAATTTTACACATTGTCCTTTGGATGCACATTAGTGCCCACATGCCCAGTAGAGATCACCCAGACAGTATTTCCCAAAAATTTGTAATCTAGTTCTAAATCTGAGGTTTGGCAAGAAGGCCAATATTATTGGTTTCCCATATATAAATAACTCATAAGGCAAGGAGGGATTTTTGCTGCCTTTTCTAAGTGACCTACCAGGATAGGAGGAACAGAACTTAAATATTCTGATAACCAGAGCAGGGCTTTAATTAAAAGATCCTTCCTTAACTTACATTCTTATTTGACTCAAAATCACGTTATAGCCAGCATACCACTAGTTTCATTTTACCTCATCCTGCTTTGGCATTTAAGTTTTGCTCTCTGAGTTGTTTATTTAAAAGCATATATTCTAACTCTTCTCTGAGTAAAAGTCCTCAAATATTGATATATATATACACAGTACTCTTATCTTTCCTTCTGCTTCTCTATTTATTGAGTTTTCTTTCTCGCAGTGCAGCTGCACTGAGACTTTGTGAGCCTCTGGCAATATTGCTTCCAGATGCCTTTCATCCCCTTTTGTTAGTGATTTGGTAAAGTTGTTCCTAATGGAATTAATATGAAGAACTTTTAAAGCTGAGGATTATGGCAGGGAATGTGAAGGAGAAGTAAGTACCAGGTCAGGTGGAATTGGTTTATCTCAGAGGCACCCAGTGCTCTTCACACAAGGACAATCTCAGAGTGGGTATTTGTTCCTAAAAGGCTTGTGCAAGTGTCCCCCAAGACAAAGAGTAAAGAAGATCTCTGAATCTGTTTTGTCTTTCTGTTTTAAGAACAATGATATGTAAAGAACAAGTGATGACAATAGATAGGATCATTTCTAAACACGCTTCATTCTACTTAATTTATTCATGCTTATCCACAGGGAGGTTTCCATTTACCAGCTGTAGATCGTGAATTAGGTCTCTTCTGTCACAGCTGCACAAGCTCCACAGCTGTGGAGATAAATAATGCTTCGTGTCCCACAGAAGGACTGTCGGGTTCCTGGGTGCTGGCTGTTACTTGAGGAAGTAATTGAGGAAGGACAGAGCCCACAGTGTTCAGCTGAACTACTGGGGCAGCAAGTTTGCATGATCAAATGCATGCAAAAAGTAGTTTGCATGATCAAATGCATGGTTTGCATGACCACTTGATTTTAAATGCTAGAGAGGTATTCTACGACACCGGTGTCAAAGCACTGGAGTTCCCAAAACTTGTGAGCAGCTTCTTGCCAAACCTGTACTGAAGTGGAGAGGGCTTTGTGGACATGATGGCTTTTCAAAGACATGAACTCACTGTCACTGTCCACTGGAGAATGTCCTTCCACGAAAAGCTCTCTGCAGGGAATTTCTCCTTAAATTGCTTTTCAACAGCTTCTGGCATGATAAGCTGTGGGTCATTCATGAATGCTGCTAAGATGTCAGCGGTACCTCCAGACCCTGCTAAGATAAGCCAGGGAGCAGAATTTTCCAACCCGCTGCAAATTCTCTGTAGTTTAAAATAAGATTTTTAAAAATTCATAAGTGGAAAGAAAATGTTGTTCAAAAGAAGGACTTTTAGCAAACCAGGAATAAATGTGTACCTAAATCAGATTCACTAAGGAATCAGTCCAGACTCCTCTAAGCTATTAGGATTTTTTGAATTCTGTAGCAGGTCATCCATGTATAGGCCTCTGACTATGCTTCTTTTCATGACACATCTGCTGAGTAGCTAAGCAACCTTATTTGGACAAACAATGCACAAAATTTCTTTGACCCTGACGATTTTTTTTCCCCCGAAGTCTGTTTCAGCATATTCAAGTGCAAGAGAGTAAGCCTGTACAGAAATTATCAGCAGGCTTTTTAGTAGAGGTTTTTTTTTTTTTTTTTCTGTCTGCTAAACCTGGCAATATGTTCTGAAAATCAGGAATTTGCCTGTGGGAATACAACATTGAGCTACACGAAAAAAACCACTGAATCATAGCAACTACAAGAGTTAAAGGCTACTAATTCTATTACTTTTGCAATTATAATGAGTCAGGCAGGTTGTTGAGAGAGGAAAGCAGAGGCCATGGCATCATAATTGCAAAAATGTCTATTTGCTGCCAGTCTGTTTCTTCTTCTGGAGTTACACAAGACCGCATTGATTCAATTGTGGTGCAAAGGTTTTTTTCTTTAGTTTAGGTATTGAGGTTTTTTAAAACTCTTTGTAGTCTCTGGTGTGTATTATCCATTTTAAGAAATCCATTTAAGAAATTGGTATTCTAAAAAAGTGTGGCCAGTCATCCTTTCCCAGCAAAAGTCGGTTTAGAAGAACTCCAGCCAGTCACTTTTTGTCTTCCAGTCACACTGTTCTGTAAAACTTTGAAAAGAGGATTTACATGTCATAACATGGGATTTTTCTAAACCAAAGATACAGGAAACACTGCAATATTTAGTTTCTCATGAAAGAAAGGAAGCAAGATCATGAGGTGATATAACCTTTGTTTAAGCAGAGAGATTTCTAATATGAGTGTGTGTTTTAGTCCAGCTGACAAAAGTTTTGACAAGACACATGAAACTGAAACTAGAAAACATCCCCAGAAAGGAGTCATTATTCTGGAAAGGGGTTACCAGCTTGCATGTCACAGTCTCAGCACTTGGAAACCTTAAATTATAGTTAAATTATGTCTCTCTAAAGGTTTTCTAGACTGACAGGATTATAAAAAAGATAAGTAAAGTAGAATAAAAGTCAAAGACTATCTCCTTGTTAACATGTTCTTTAAGTTGTAGAACCACTCAGGAAAAAAATCAAAACTGATCCTTTACTGAGGAACACTTGGGATTATTATCAGGCAACACTCCAGTCTTCAATCCTACAATGTACTTTTGGTCAGTGGAACCAGGACACTCCCATTTTAAATGGCACATCCAGCAAACCTGGTCTTGTGCTTCCTCTGAGCTCTGGGACAGACAGTTGTGTCATTGTTGCTGAATAGCACTAAAAGATTCCTCTTTTTTTTGGTGTATGTTCTCAAGTTAGAGTATTTCTGTTTTGCTAGATCTGGAGCTCGTTTCTGTGGGTTTGTTTTGGGTTTGGATTCTTTCATCCCACTGGACAAGCTGGCAATGGAAGTTTTAATGATCAGTTGGTACCTATTCAAAAGTAAATATTTCTCCCAAACAAATACTGTCAAATTTACTATTAACAGAACTCAGTTCTTAATGGTGTATAGATGTGCATTTGGACTTCATGCAAAGTGCCAATAGATGTGTTTGCCCTACAGCCAAATTCTCCATTAATTACTTGGCATCAGTTAATTTATTTTTCTAAAGCTGGAAACAACTTTCTTACCTCAAGTGTGCCTGGTCCTCCATTCACCAGTAGGCAAAGCACAGGGATCTCAATGCTACCTGTTCCTGTAGAATAGAAGGTTCAATTTTTTAAAAAGTAACAGCTTTCATGAACCTATTGCTGTTTTGCTGACCCCTTGAAAATATTTCTCCCCTTTCGTGCTGTTTTGGTCTCTACATGAACCTGCAGAAGGACGTGGCAGGGGAAGAGAATAGCACTGACCTAACAGAGAGGTCCTGGCCTAGGATTCAGGACAAAGGCACCTTTGCTTGGAAATTTTGTGTGATCCCAGGCAAGCAGTCCAGGCTGTTCTGACCTCAGCTGCAAAATATGGATATTGGCATCTCTCTGTGTTATGCCACTGCTGGCTTTTCAAGTGATTTGTTTACTGCAGGGCTGTCAGGCTGGGGAGCAATGGAGCTGCATTAGGGTGCAGCAGAAGGCTGGTGGGTTGCCAGAGAGGCATCTTCCAGCAAGACACAGTTAGAGGTGAAAAGCTCTGTTTGTCCTGGGTGTTGTGCACGTGCCCAGTGTGTGCTGGAAGGGGACTGGAATCCAGGACAAAAGCCTTCTGAAAGGAGGATTTAAGAATGTGAAGAGGCTGACCGTGTAGACTGGGCAGGATGAGTCAGATACAAGTTGATAGGAGCCATGTATTTATTACTCTGCTCAAACAGCTTCATGTTTCATTCAGCACAGCCTGGTGTGGTGATTAATAATAACACAGTCTGATACTTTTAAAAGAAATATTAATGAAATATTTAACATGTCATGGTATTGGGGGAAGAATTGAGGTCAGGGTCCCTGTCCTAAGCCATCTTCCCACAGGGGCCGACAGAGTTTTGGATGGTTTTTACTGTAAATGCTGAATTCTGCAATGCAAAGGTGACTATAGATTGGCCTGAAGGAGCTCAATCAAAACTGTAGTATCAAGAGATTAATGCCTCTTTCAGCTCAAAGATAAAAGGCATTTGGTTCAAACAATTTTTTGATGTTTCCCTTTGTAGATCTCCCAAAACTCAGTACAGATCTATACTACCTATTTTTGTATTTCTTTTGAGATGACTACAGAGATAAGGTTGGACTGAGCTGTAGCCAGAATATGGTTGGTAAGAAACTTAATTTGTTTTAGTGAATGGCATGGCATTGTCTCACCTCTCTGACGTGATGCTCTTTGAAGAGTGACCTCTGGGACTACAGGTTCCTCAAGTATGGTTAAGGCTACAAATACTCTTCATTTGCCACAGATTTAGTTAAAAGTTAGCCAGAGGAAGGTCAGATGGATTTTGACTTTATTCTGCGATTCCATATATAAAAAAGTTATTCTTAAAGACTTTTAGGTCTTTTTTGTTGTTGTTTTTTTTTTTTTTTTTAAACAGGGAAATTCCACATGACCTTATTAAAGTGTTGTATTTCAGTAAAGTCACATAGCTTTGCTCAGCTTGTTTATAAACGAGCTTAAATGAATGACATTGGTTTTGTTAATACAAGATAACACTGGTACAGTATGTTCCAGCAAAGTATTTGTCATATGAATCAGCATTCTTTGTCAGAATTATGTTCCCCTGAGATTTGTTCAATCAGATTTGGTTGGTGAGCAGAAAGAGGCTGCTGTGTAACTCTCAGCACTGCAGCCTCAGGCTACCCTTTCAGCCTGCCTGTGGTCATTCCTATCTCAGTGACCAGGTAAGGTCCTTCAGGTGTGTTTGTGCTCTCAGGTACCTCTGTGCTACCACCCCGTGGGCTGTGGATATTCTATTGATGCACAAAGCTGTGAACAAGTGAGGTCTCCCTCCTGTTTCAGCTGTGCTAGCACTGCATGTATGACACAAACAAAGCAAAGGTAAGAAAAAAATGTAGCTCTGTTATCTCCTGACAACTGAGTTCTTTCCACAAATAGCAGTAGGAGGCCTGTCCAATACTCAGTTCTTATTCCAAAAAAGATCACAGATTCAGAGGGACATTAGATGCTACAGTGTTTACCTGGGATAAGATTTTATCCCAAAACAAATACGGCTTGAAATATTTCAGAGGGCTTTGGAACAAGTCTTTTCTTTCAGTGTGGGAGCAATTCAAGACCCTGTGTGTGAGAGGGGATAAAAGTATACAACAATGACTATCAATCTCTTAGAACCACCAGTAAAGGCACTTGAAGCTGGATTTATTTTCCATATGTTGTCTTTTAAGGCAATTTGAGCTGTGCTTTGAAGACCAGCTTTGAGCCTACATTTAAGGAGATGCAATAAAAGTCCAGATTTTCGCTCCAAAGAGGAGCAGCTTTCTCAACTTCAGAAGTTACCGTCGCCGTGCCTCTTACACGATGACAAATGTGTTGACTTGGTCTTGCCTCTGTGGGAGCTGGAGTCACCTTTGGGGGGTAACTAGGGCTAGAGCTAGGGCCAGGGCTCAGGTTATTCAGACTGGGTGGCTCCCAGAGCCTGCTTACCCCCGTATCCCGTGCGCTGCTCTGAGATGTACCTTTCCAAGGCGAGGCGGAGCTCGGCGGTTCCATCCGGCTCCTCCAGCGTGGTGTGGTCCACCAAAATAAAATGGGAGTGGTTGTGATCCAAGGAATACAGTGGGCCTTGGGTGTTGTCTTCTGAGTGGTAGTGTACAAGGCTTTCACTCTGGAGGGAGGAGGGGAGATGTCAGTGCTTTCTGCATGTTTTAAAGTCCTTCCTCTCCATTTCTGTGCTGTCTGCACCCTGACACAGCTCACCACCTGTGAGACTCTTTGACAGACCCTTAAAAAAGGGTGAAGATAGAAAAATCTGCGCCTTCTGGAAGTGGCCAGATTTGGCTGGAGTCCCTGAAGTTTCCCTCTTGGCCTCTGCAAAATACAGTGATATCAATCATCATCTCTGGAATGCAGGTTTTGGAATGGTTTATTGGACAAATGGAAAGGGGCCATGAGACCTGATAATTGTGTATGGAGATGTGAAGCCTCAGCTGGTGTAAAGAGGGGAAAACTATTAATTTCAGTAGTGTTTTGACCATGTTTAGACCAGTGAATGAGTTAGCCTGCTCCATGTCCCTGTCAATTTATACACAGCTTTACTTAAGTGACAGGGTTGTATGAAGTCTGATGGTTATTCTCAGTTTAGAAACTGCATTCTAGAACAGAGAGTGGCAGACAGATTTTAGAAAGGGGAATCCTCTTTTATTTTGAGCGAGTGGAGTTATATATTTTTTTTTCCTTTTTTTTCCTCACAAACTCATCTTCTAGGTAAAACAGAACCCCTGCTACAGTCTTTTGTTCTAAATATTGCACTACACATGGGCTTCTATATGTACACTTTTTCAAACTCCCCTTTCTTTCTTAATACATCTTTCTTTCTCTCTGTTGCCCATCCACTTTGATACATCATTCCAGGTTGTAAATGTCTGATTATTCTTTTTCATTTTCCTAATCATTTTCCTCTTGCAAGCAGGTAGATTAGCACAACTGTTTAAAATCTTGGCAGTTGTCACTGCGTATTGCATTTTCCCTGCACTAAAAAGCAGTAAACTTGCCTGTTTCTTTCACTTTCTTCTCTCTGTCTCTCATTCCTTGGGCAAAACTTCTTGACATAATTAATTTCCTTCAGATTTTGCTTTGACAGAGGGTGTGCCTCTTTTCTGCTGCCGTGTAACATTAATCCTCCTCCCTAAAGAGCTGGCCTTTGATTAGGACCCGGAGGCACAACAACCAGTTGAAAAAAGCCTTTGGGGATTTTCCTCTCTATTCCCTGAAAACGTGGAAGTGATCTTTCAATGGTGTTTAAAGCATACCATTAACACAGAAGAGATGGGAGGGTGTTGTGTATAAGTAAAGATATTATAAAAGAAAGGTTTTATGAAATGAGGCTTGGTTCTGTTGAATTACCAACTGAGCCTATAAGTTCCCATAAGAAAGAATCAAAGGAATAAAAAGTCAGTTAACAAAACAAACTATTCTAGTAACAGAACTGTTCACACCTACAAAAACAAGAATTCTGCCCCATGAGAATCTGTAAAAAATATGTAAACTATCCAAGAATAGAGAAATTTGATAAACATGTGAAAATGCCATTTACTAACCAATAAATTAAGTAGTATAAAACTACTGACCAATTAGAGTTGAACACAAGAGCTGTGAAAACTATATAAAAATTAGTTATGTAAATAAAAAATTAGCTTTTCCTACATAAAGAATCTAAATCCCATCTGCTTTACTACAACAGGAGGGATCCACTGATTTCAGGGCTTGTTTTTCTCCTTGCTAGTGGGGGTTGTTAGCCTTCTTTTATACAACAAGTTGCTTGTGTCAGTGCCAAATATAAAGAGAGTTGGGTTTAGATCAACATTCCTGTCTGTAGTTCCTTTGTCTTTAAGTTACTGACTAAAAACCAAAATATCTTTGGGTGTAAGCTGTGCCAGAAGTCATAGGGTCAGGAATGCTCTTTGCAAAATATCCCTTGACAAAAAAATTGGGCTTTAGTTGAGGGGGAGAAAATAAAAAAAGAGTGCACTTGTTTTGTAGATGCTGATAGGGAAAGATCCAGATGCATTTTGATCACTTAGCCTAGAAGGGAGGTGAAATAGTTTGCATTTGCAAACTCTCCTGAATGAAATTCACAAACACGATGAACCATATCCTTTCCTTTGAGGCCCTTTTGGCCCAGTTGCCACACCAATAGGTTAAAGTCTTCCAGCCAAAGAGTCCAATTCTTTCCTTTGAGGCCCAGTTGCCACACCAATAGGTTAAAGTCTTCCAGCCAAAGAGTCCCACCTGTAGGGCACACAGGTAGCTGTCATTGGCAAAAAACCAACCAAAGAAACAAAAAACAAACAAACACACAACAAAAAAACCCAAAAAACAAACAAAAAAAACCCACAAAAACCCCAACAACAACAACAAAAAAAACCAAACAAAAAACCATGACAATAAATTGCTGGTATGGTCTCTAGCTGGTATTTTCAGGCCTCTGTGAGAGAACAACTAGGTGTGAATTCAAAGGGCAGTCTGTCATTTGTTCTTAGCTTCTGTAGGGAATAAAATAGTACAGAGAAACTGTCATTCACTGCCATTAAACACCTGTTTTAGTGTCATAATATTCTATTTAGGACAGACTGTATATGCAGTGACAGGGAGGGAATGCTATTTCTTTTTTTTCCTCTCCACTTCTGTGTCCATTCAGCAGCAACACTTTCAGCAACAGTTTTGTTGGGTGAGGTTTTTTATTTGTTGGTGGGTTGTTTTTGTTTTCTTCCCAAGGACTTTGATCCCCTTGACCCAATTTGAGAATTCCCCATAACTAGGTGAAATCCTGCATGGTTGGTATTTTTGACCTGTTGCACTGAGCAAGTTTTTGTGTATTAAATACCAATTCAGTGTTTACTTAAAGAAGTTTGTCCTGGAATATTTCTGTGGTGTCCCATAACACAAAATATGCTTTTTTGCAGTATTTGTGTAATAGCTAGGAGTAAGTGCTGCTGCAGTAAGTGAACAAGGGAGAAATGCATGAAAAGTCACTTATTCTGGGATATTTTCTTGACGTTCAACCCTGTGCTCTTGCTTTGCTGATGCCTAATGCTGCCACCCGCTGGACACGGAGGGCACAGAATCATCCAACAATCCTGGAGCTGTTTCTGCTTCCTCCCAAAACACAGCTTAAACCCCACTTCTGTTTGTTTATTTAAAGTTATATCAAAGTCCCTCTGCCAACGACTTACAAATTTTGTACGGGTGCAGCTTCCATCGGAGCAAGAGAATAAGAGAGCAGTACCTTTGTGTTTTCCAGGATTTCCCTGTGCTGGATTTCCCTGAGTGAAGTTATTCCTATGGCAATCACGCTCAGGGTGGATGAGGTACTGGCCAGGGCAAGATCTCGCACTGCTTGCACCAAGTGCCTTGTCACTCCTACACGCAGAGCACTGGTGAAAATCCAGGCACCTGAAGTTATTTTTAAAAAGCAGTTAGGGACTTTCTTTGTATTGCAATGTGTTTGTGTGTCAAGTAGCATTACTTACAGTACTGGATTTAAGGTTTGTTTAAAAATAGATAAAGCAAAGACATGTCTTGATGGACTGCAACTTTTAGAATTAAAATACATGCAAACACATAAGACATTAATAAAGAAAACAAGAAGAAATTATGAGCTCAAGCAAACATTCTTCATGTATGCCATGATGCAATGTGGCCATCTTTAATCTGGAGTTCCTTCTCCTGTTCTTGTGTGTGGGTGTGTGGAGCGTGAATTCTTCAGGATAATAGAATTTACAGGAGTGTTGTTACAATGACAAGGAATTTGGAGAGCCCTAGGTAAACAGCAAGCTGGCCTTTTTCAAATATGTAACATGAAGAAACTGGGGATCTTGATGCTGCCCAGTCTGAAGTACAAAAGGCAGATGGAGATGGAGAATATTTGTATAGCACAAAAGTACCAAAAGGAGCTCTGGTAGAAAAAGCAAAATTGGTACAATCTTGTCTGGAGCAACGAAGCTAAACCAAGAGGTTGCTGTGAAATGCTCACAGATATTTTCTCTGTATTTTGCAGGTGAGAATGCAGAAATTAAAGCTAAACCAAGAGCTTGCTGTGAAATGCTCAGATATTTTCTCTGTATTTTGCAGGTGAGAATGCAGAAATTCTTATTTTTGACCTAAATTCACTCTTGTTGAAGTCAAATTGCTCTGCTCTCCTCAGAATTATTTTGTTACGGCACAAAAGAGGGGCAATTGTATTTGGCCCCATTTTGATGCTATATTTCTAGTATCACCTCTGAGGGAATAATATCAGGTAATTTCACAGTTCAGAAATGGTTGCCTAGAGTGATTTGCTTCAAAAGAACTTATTTTTGCTACTATTACACAATCACTTTCATTTTCAAAGGTAGGTTGCATTCAGCAAAGTCTTGAATTTTCAAAAATAATCGTGTGAGCAGGCCCACTGTCATTACCAGATCACTGGGGACTAGGTGTGAGAATCCATTAGGAATACAAATTTCTTCTTTAGAGCCTAAAGCACTCACCTGTGCTTTCAGCTGCCTTTATAAGTCCTTTCTTTAAGGTGTCCCGTAGCCAAGGCTTCATCTGAAAATCTTCTTCTCCCCCTACTAAAGAGATAACCAAATTGGGAGCAGGTAGCTTCCATTTGTTGAGCATAACTTCAAATATAATTCCAGGGTGAACGGTACTCTGGACCTTCATAAACTTCAACAAACACAAGAAAAGCCCAATGAATAACAGCAACATGAAAAAATACAGTAAAGAGTCTGTTCATGCTAAATGCAGAGGGAAATTATCATCAAATTGGATATTTAAGAAAAAATCATTTGAGCAAGAATTGACAGAGAACTAAAGACTTGAATTCATTTAGCAGACTTCTGTATAATTGCCGCCTCACTAATTGGGTAAGTTCCATGGGTCTGTGTTGCAGACTGACAAATCACACTCTCCCTTACAGTTTCCTCTTGAGCTGCCTTCAGATTCATGGCAGCCTAGGGAAGTCAACAAATTCCATAGGTGTTTATTGTTTCTTCAGAAGCTTCAAACATATTTGCCTGATTTCATATCTGTTTTTTGAGGGCACGTTATATTAATCTACTGCTTCTTCCAGTACTGTATATATTTTGGTTTTCTGCTTAAGTCTTTGTGGTGAAACAAAACCTTGGGGCAGATTTCAGGAATTTCTAGGAATTCCTTCTGCTCTAGTACTAACTTGTGCATGGGACTAGGGAGGAGGTGGGTGAGTCCATATACACCCCTCTCTGAACATCGGCAGAACAGAGAGAACTTTAAGGAAAACCTTTAAACTGCTCAAAATTATGTTTAAAATGTAAAAATAGTGATTAATTTTTGCTGGGTTTAACCAAGGAAAGGATACAAAGTGAAGGAAGCAGGGCACATGACTGATTTTTCTTTTAAAGGGAAGAGTGATCACCTGCATTTGTATCATGTAATTGCAAATCAAGTGATTGATTTGTGAATATTAGAAGGCCATGTTGTAGACCACACTCATGTTTCAGGAAAGCATGGTCCTTACTTGGGGTATAATGTGTTGCCTCACTCTGTGGCACATCGACCCTCACTGTTGGAGACTCTGAGTTTACTGCTAAGAACAGCAGTACTGTAAAAGGGTTAAAACTCCTCAGTGCCCATACCTTTCCATGATTCTTCCCAGAAGCTGTGAAGTCTATTTCTCCTATGCAGTATGGTAATTCTCTTTTGAAGGCTTCCTCTTTGTCACTGCTGCAGAGCTTGGTTTCCATTTCCTCCATTGAATCCGTAAGGTGATGGAGCACCAATGGACCAAGGTGTTCACTGGGATGACAGAAAGTTGGCAAATGAGAAGCCATTTAAACTGGAGAGGCCACAAAAAACATTAAAATTTATGTAGATGAGGTTTTAGTCAAATGTTTTACTTTTTTACTGTCATGCCTGTAATGATTAGCTAAAATTGGTGGTCTTTGTACCAAGTGTCAGATGCTGTATACAGAAGGCAGATTCCACACCAACACTATGTAACATAAGGTCTAAAAATGCACAAAGAAATAAGGCTTCCTGAACTCTCATTCAGCAGACAGAAAACTGAGCTGCAAAGTGCAAAATCCTGCAATCTCAGAGGCCAAAGGTGACCCTGATTCTACAAAAGAGGAAGAGGAGTCTCAGCCACCAACTCTTTCAAGCAAGAGTGGAGCAGTGTCAGTGAGTGTCTGAGTCATGGTTTCTTGCTGTCACTGTGCCTCAGGCTGCTCTGACCCATCTCACCTGACGTGAATGCTAAATAACCCAGTGGTGACGTTGTTTGTCTGGAGATGCTTTAGGAGAGGTTTACTCTCAGCTTCCTGCAGGAATAGGCTGTTTATTTGTGAGCCCAGGTATTGGAGGCCAGGCTGTCCTGGATCAAAGGTCATACAGCAAGAGTTGCTCTTCTGCATTACATGAGACACTGGAAAGGTCTGCCTTTTCCTGTGTTCCAGTTTGACAGAATTATGGCCTGAAAAATGTAGATTTGAACTTGTATGCCCTATTTTGATTCTTTTCAAAACCAAAGCAATGAAATAGCTCTCTCCCTTCTGCCTTCAGCTGCATGTTGAACTGCATAGTCTTTAAAAAAAAAAATCCTTGTGACACCAGCAATGGTAATCAACACTGCATTAATTTTTATTTCCTAGTCTGATAAAAAAAAAATCCTTGTGACACTAAGCCAGCAATGGTAATCAACACTGCATTAATTTTTATTTCCTAGTCTGAGAGCTTTGCTGTGGGATTGAGAGTGTGTCAAACCAGCAAGTCTCTTGTGGCTCTGTTAGGATGCTCCAGTAGAGGGAGCAAGCCCTCCAGCCGTTCCCTTGGGCTGGGAAGCTCTTGGGAAACTGAATCCCAGCTGCTTCACCACAGCTGCCTCTGTATTTTCTTCTCTTCTGTCAGCTGTGAAATGTTGCTTTTTCCTACGAGTTGCTTTTTTCTCCTATGATCTGCCTCTGAAGAGAGGCTATGGGCCCTCTCATGATTTGCTTCCCCTACAGCCATGTCACACTTGGGTATCCAGCCCCAAACTCCTGTCAGAGATCACTGCTTCAGAGATTCTTGTTCTCATTCTCCCTGCCTGCATGCTGCTCCCTTCTGGAGAGAACAGAGTGACTGCTGTGAGCACTGAGATACCAGAGCAGTCTGGTTAAGAGTCTTACCTAAGAGAACTTCTCTTGGCTCTTCAATAGTGGTAATCACAGCAAAGCCCACCTTCTTCTCTGTGTCCACTTTTCCACAGGAGAGCTGGCTTTATCTCCTAAGAGCGTTGAAAAGAATATTATGGGGAAAATAAATAATATAGAGTAATAATTACACATTATTTATTATTATTTATGTAGAAATCACTTTCTGGAACTTGACGACAGAACAAAGGATTTGATTAGGAACAAAACTACTGAGGACTGAATTTCCAGGGTACTGTAGTCACTGTTCATCACTGTCCTGGATAGTACACATTTATTTATAGCAACACACAAGCAATGAACTTGAAATAGACAGCAATTTACAAAATAATCCAATGGTTAATTTGTCCTCAAGTGGTTCATTTTAAGTCCAGTAATCTGTGACTTCTCTTTTGGAATAAAGAAGCTAGGCTGCTAAGATTGATAGGGTACATTCTTGCATTTGGGTAATTAATTTTTTTTTTTTTTTTTCAGAAATAGCACATTATTTTTTTTTTCAATTTAGGGATTCTGGCTCTCAATGGTAATGAAAAACAGTGTAGGAGGTAAAAATAGGTAAAATGTGGAAACAGAAAGTTTGTTCACAAGCTTTTATAAGGCTGGGAAGTGAGGAAAGCACCTGTTAACTGGCAGCTACATGAGGAAGAACTTCTTTATTGTGCAGGTGACCGAGCACTGGACAGATTGTCCAGAGAGGGTGGGGGGTCTCCTTAGTGGAGATACTCAAGGACCATCTGGACACAATCCTGTGCCATGTGCTCTGGGATGGCCCTGCCTGAGCAGGGAGGTTGGAGCAGATGTCCCACTGTGGTCCCTTCCAACCTGATTGCTCTATGATTCGGTTTTATTATGAACATTGCAGAATCCTGGTGCATGAGAGCTGTACATGTGGCTCTTAAACACAGAGCGACCATGTCTGATGTTTCCTTACCTCCCCCTATAAGCTGTCTCAGCCTCTGCAGTGTAACCCTTCCCTGGTAGGGGCAGAATCAGCAAACACTGCATGGATCTGCCTGGGGGCTGCACCTCACCTTGCCACCACTTTGCTCTGCAGTGCAGCTTCACTCCCCACCCATCAGTCAGCACATGGATTGTGTTACATCCCTGATGGGTGCTCAGGGCAGGATATCATCAGCCCTGTCATTTCCTCCTGGATTGGCAACACTTCTGTTCTTCAAAAGCATGGGGGTATCTCACCCAAAGTGCTCTCACAAGCAAAGTAAGCATGGATCAACAAACTGTGTGATATAATTAGGGTTTTTCAGAATAGCTGCCTCCTGGGTTTAATTCAGTCTCGTTTGGCTTGCTTTCAGCTTTCACATGAGTCTCTGGTGGTTTCAGGGGCTGTTGCTCTGAGACTTGAGGCTGTACTGGATTGCAAGTGTGTCAGGTCACAGTAATTGGGTCAGGTCTCTGTGCTGGCAGTCATGACATACCACTGCAGTCAGCTCAGCCGTGGCCACTTTTGTCACTGCAACGTCACACTGTGGGCTTTAATTGTGAGGCTGGGATAAACCTGTGCCTTGGGATAGAAGAGACAAACAGCCAAAGGAGGAGGAGAGTCCAAGCACTTTTTGGATGAAAACCAATGGGGGATATTTCATAATTTTCTTGCTTTACCTATACTATTTTTGATTAAACTTTTTAGAGATTTCCAACATTTCTTTTATCCTGTTATTTAAAGGTTTTTCCTCTGCATTATCTAAGACAATGCCATTGTATTAAATTTAGTTAAAGGATTACTTAAAGCCAAGAAATCTGAAAAACTTCAGGGGTAAGGAAAGAAAAAAAAAACCTCACGAAAATCTTGTCTGCCCCAACATGTGCATTCATATTTTAAATTTTGTATATGTATCAAGAAATCTTACTGTAGTTCTGGTTCAGATTTAAGTACATGCATTTCTATTTAGGCTGCTGCTACATATCTAAGTTTGTAGGTCAAATTCTGTCCTAGATGTTCCATCAACTACAAATGCAAACATCTATGGAAAAGAATGTACCTCTAATGATTACCAGATTGGAAATATAACCTAGGAAACTATTTCTAACTAGCAAAGCAAGTTAAGACAATTATGAGGAAAAGACAATTGCCAGTTCCACCTACATCTGGAAATGTGAGTCAATGTCATTTACATTAGGGATGGCCTGGTTAAATCATTCCAGGTGACAGCCAGTCTTGTGAATCATTATTTTTTTAACCTCATAAATGGGAGTTGTAAGAGTTGTATCATTATATAAACCAGTGATGCTGGAGCTTGCAGGTCCTAATGCTATTTATTGCTTCCTTTTGGATGGTCCTGACTTTTGATTTCAGCACTCAAGGTTTCTGGGATGTAGGAAATTGTCAGGGAGGCATCACTTCAGGGAGCAGTTGTGATGGCTCTAGGGAAGCTCCACAAGGAGAATCCTTGCAGAGATTCCTTTCTAAAGGATTTATTTAGAAAAAGTGTTGAGATCAGGACAACAGGGAACTATTTTGACTCCTATGTTCCCCCCTTTCTAGACTTTCCTCTGCCCCTCCCCTGCCATGCCTTTCTCCTACAGCTTCTCTCACAGTATCCCCCAGCTTTCCACTGTTTCTTTCCACCTACTGTCACTGCCAGCTACTCCACTGTGAATGTGCATCTCTACTTCCTTGTGTGGTAACACAGGACAGGTTGTTCACCTCCAGAGGGGTGAGAAGAATGTGGGTCTGCTTCACCCTCCCTTCAGATTTTAACCAGGATTAGGCTGTGTCCGTGGAAGGAAGAGAGGTCAAATTTGAGCCTTTCAAACATGTCTTTTGAAAATGGGCCCAGTCAAGGGATGGTTTGACCTCGGTTGTTGTCTTCCAGGGCAGTGGTTCCATTAAGAGAGTAGGTGTGTGGCAGTCATCAGCTCTCATGACTTAGAAGCACCAAGAATTCTCCTTCATACTTGAATGCTGATCAGCAGGCTGGGGCACACCCTGACTCTGAATCACATCAGATTCCTTCACCCACTCATGGTGTACATTTGAATATATAGGTGAAATGATTAAATATAGTAATGCAGTGTGGTTGATGTTAAACCAGTCACAAAGTCCCCCCTGCCCTTAGCTTCAGTGGCAGATGAGGCAAACCTATTGATTTATTAACTTTAAAGTATGCTTTCATGTGCAGCAAAAGAGAACTACACCAGTTCCTGTGTCCTTGCTGGTGCAGGGTGAGCTAGCAATCCCAGCAAAAAAGAAGCCTCAACTATTGGTCAGAAAAAAAGAGGGCTCACACAAATTGAAGTGAGTAGTAAGGGGAAAAACTCCCTGAAGACCAATGCAATGAACTTCACTTGGTCAGGAGCAGTCAGCTTCCAACACAGGTAACGGGATCCCTTCTGCTGAACTGCAGCCCTGATGGGAAGGATCTGAGGGTTACAGGCAGAGCAGATGTGGGCAGATGTGAGTAATGCTGTGCTGAGGGAAATGACACCTAGGAGAGCTTAAACAGCCTGTGTGAAGTGACTCAGCTGTTCATCAGAACAGCTTTAGCTGCAATATCATGTTTGGATTTGGGTGCCAGGCTTCAGGGGAATTACAGATCAGCTGG